AGAACAGACCGAGGAGGAGAGTTCACATCATTAGAATTCAATGAGTTTTGCATAGAGCATGGCATCAAGAGGCAATTGACAGCAGTGTATACCCCACAACAGAACAGAGTAGTTGAAAGGAAAAATCGAACGGTGATGAACATGGTTCGATGCATATTATCTGAAAAAAAGATTCCCAAGACTTTCTGGTCAGAAGCAGTAAACTGGACAACATATGTTCTAAATCGGAGTCCTACATTGGTTATAAAGAATCAAACACCCGAAGAAGCTTGGAGTGGAAACACACCATCAATTGAGCATTTTAGGGTTTTTGGATGCGTGCCACATGTGCATATTTCTGATGTGAAAAAAGAGTCCAAGGCATATAGACTCTATGATCCAATTGCAAAGAAGGTTGTAATTAGCAGGGATGTAGTATTTGAGGAAGACAAGTCTTGGGATTGGGATAGAAGTTATGAAGAACATATAATGGCTGATCTGGAATGGGATGATGAAGGAGAGAATGAGGCAGTGAATGCAGAAAATGATGGAGCAGTGAGTGGGGGAAAAAGAAGGAGTCATTGCAGAATCAGTTGGTAGCCCTCAAACTGGAGAGAATGGAAGAGAATCATCCAATTCCGATGAAAGAAGAGATAGAAGGCCCCCGGGGTGGATGAGAGATTATGTAAGTGGGGAAAGGCTTTCGGAAGAAGAAGATACAAATGTTAATTTGGCTTTATTTGCTTAAGCAGACCCAATGCATTTTGAGGAGGCAATAAAGCATGACAAATGGAGGATAGCTATGGACACAGAGATGAAGGCTATAGAGAGAAACAACACATGGGAACTCACTAATTTGCCTACAGGTGCAAAGAAGATTGGAGTAAAGTGGGTCTATAAGACCAAACTCAAGGAGAATGGAGAAGTGGACAAGTTCAAGGCTCGTTTGGTGGCCAAGGGGTATGTGCAACAACAAGGGATAGACTACACAGAAGTGTTTGCACCGGTTGCAAGAATGGATACAATGAGAATGATTGTGGCTCTAGCAGCTCAGAAAGGATGGACTCTCTACCAACTTGATGTGAAATCCGCATTTCTACATGGGGAGCTTAATGAAGAAGTGTACGTGGAGCAGCCTAAGGGTTATGAGCTGAAGAATAATTCTCAGAAAGTATACAGGTTGAAGAAAGCCCTCTATGGACTAAAACAAGCCCCACGAGCTTGGTTTAGTCACATTGAAGCACATTTCATAAGTGAAGGGTTCAAGAAGTGTTATAGTGAGCATACTTTGTTCATTAAAACAAATAAGGGAGGTAAGATTCTCATTGTCAGCTTATATGTAGATGATTTAATATTTACAGGCAATGATGAATTGATGTTTGCTGAGTTTAAGAATTCCATGTTGAGGGAATTTGATATGACTGATTTGGGGAGAATGAGGTTTTTCCTTGGCATAGAAGTATTGCAGAGGTCAGATGGAATTTATATTTGCCAAAGAAAGTATGCTTTGGAGGTGTTAAAGAGGTTTAAGATGGAAAATAACAACTCAGTTCATAATCCCATTTTTCCAGGTTGTAAACTTTTTAAAGATGAGAATGGGGTTGGTGTTGATGAGACTTTTTTTAAACAAATGGTGGGATGTCTCATGTACTTAATAGCTACGAGGCCGGACTTGATGTTTGCAGTAAGCTTGATCAGCAGGTACATGGCTAAACCAACTGAGTTGCACTTGCTGGCAGCCAAGAGGATATTAAGGTACTTGAAAGGAACCATTGGACTTGGAGTTTTTTACAAGAAGGGAGGGAGTGAAGGTCTGGTTGGTTATACAGATAGCGACTATGCAGGAGATCTAGAAGACAGGAAAAGCACATCAGGCTCTGTCTTCATGTTGGGATCTGCAGCTGTTGCTTGGTCTTCTAGAAAACAACCTATAGTCACACTTTCAACCACTGAAACAGAGTTCGTGGTTGCAGCAGCTTGTGCTAGCCAAGCTGTTTGGATGAAGAGGATACTTGAGAAACTGAGTCTGGAGGAACGTAAGTGTACTACAATTTTTTGTGATAATAGTTCTACAATTAAACTATCAAAAAACCCTGTGTTACATGGTCGAAGCAAGCACATCGACGTGCGCTTTCATTTCCTTCGTGATCTCACACGAGAAGGAACAATTGAGTTGGTTTATTGTGGAACACAAGATCAATTGGCAGACGTGATGACAAAGCCCTGCACATTGGATGCGTTTCAGAGGTTTCGAAGTCAGCTAGGAGTTTGCCAAGTTCCTGAATTAAACTAGTTGCAGTTGGGAACTAGTTTAAGGGAGGGAATGAAGAGAAAGTTTAGGTTTCTGTTAGGGACTCAGATAAGGTTTTGTATTCTGTTTGAATAAATCCTAATTTTTAGGTACTTGTTTAGTTGCACTTATCACGTTATTGTAAAACGTGAGCTAGTTTTTCTCTTTCTGTTAAGTTTGTAAAAGGCTATTTATAAGCCTAGATTGTTCAATAAGACCTAAGTCATTCCCAAAACTGTTGCACTCTGTTATTTGTATTTCGATTCTTAACAATCATGATCATGTTATGTGACAAATGATCTACTTTATTTATTTATTTTTAATATATAATACGAGCGATATTAAGGAAAGGAGTTTTTCACCTGAGGGTTTGAACCGTACCAATGATCTACATCCGATGATTTGCTTATTAAAATTGAAAAGTCTATAATTATTGTAACACGAATGAACCATAGATGCTAGATCTAATGTGATTCAAGCATGAAGCATATTGTTCTTCACATCTGAATGATCTCACTACCAATGTCACACCAATAAAGTCAAAGGGTAGTTTTGAGATTTCACTACCCTTGATCCCTTCCGACCGTGGGGTGCCCGAAATATGAGAATCAAATGTGCCGAAATGGGCGAACCTGAAGAAATTTAGGCATGCTGTTAGGGGAAGCAAAGGGACTGGCCATTGTGAAACGCTACTGCACAACGAAGCAAACAGATCGCCCAAACCATAAAAAAAAAGTTTTTCTACATGACGTGTCCTTTTCGAAACTATACTTGAGCTCTAAGTACGGTGCTCTGTCCACAGCTTATTAATCAAAGAAAGAAAAAACATGTAAATGCAATTATGCAAGTTAACTAGCCCTGAAGGCATAATATACTTCTACCAGCGTGTATTGTGTAGCACGTAATTATAGAGAATGCCAAGTATCACGGGGAGCCCGGCAAATGAATGACCACCACGTACGCTTTTTAGGCAGCTTAATTTGACACAAGTTTCGTATATTTTAGTATTGCTATATTTTCAAATCATTAATTTCTACGAGTTCATCAAGCTTGTTCCATTTTTTGTGTATGGAGAAAGATACAAAATGAACATGAATCAAGTGTGTTTTTAAAAGAAGAATGCTGGAATATTCTTATAACCCAAGGACAAGTTGACTAATTGATGAATCCAATCAATTTTTTTTTCTCCCCAAGTCTCAAATTGTTAATTATGTGTTCTCTATTTTTTCTTTTTCTTTGTATGTTTTTACAGATAAGTTGAAAGTAATATGTTTGTAGAACTCGTACTGTCCTATTATTTAGTTTTTGTGTGTTTAGGAGTTAATCCGCCCCATTTCAACAAAAAACAATGTTCGACTTGAGCCATTCCTGTTTGGGAGTGCTTCTGGAAAGACCAAAAACATTTTCTGATAACTAAAAGAACTTCTAACAGCGTTTGACAGAAAAGTTTAAAAGCGCCTCTTGGTTATAGAAGCGCTTCCTGGAGAAGCACCTGCTATGTGCTTCTTCAGGAAGCACTCCCAAGTGCTTTTCCATGAAGGACTTTAATTTTTTATGAAAATTCAAGAATTTTTATAATAAAAACGCTTTTGTTAGAAGTGCTTATGAGCAAAAGTACTTCCTAGAGAAGCTGTCCCAAACGAGATAAACAAACTAGAATTCAACCGATATTAAAGAAAGTACTTGCCCAACAACAACAAAAAAAGATTTCTAAAGAAACTTTTTTGATTTTTTCATTGTCTATTAATCAAGCAACAATAGTGTAACGATTATATGAATGGATATACTTGAATGTAAACTCATCAAATGAACGATTCATATCATAGAATTACATTTTGGAATGAGACTGAATGAGTGATTATCATTGTATTAATATTAAAATGTTATATGTACATATACGTTGAGTATGAATATTATTAATACAAATTTATAAATAAACTCAATCCTAGACATGTATTTATAAAAAAACCCAAGCACTATTTAAACATAGAAACACACCCAAAATCAACTCCAAAATCAACAATTGTATATTTTTTGGGTGTGTTTATAAATGGGTTTTGAGTGTGTGTAATGATGGGTTTTGGGTGTGTTTATAAAGTGTTTTGGGTGTTGGGTTTTTTTATAATTTCAACCCCCATTTTGGGTGTTTTAGTGAAACTCCCTATTATTAACCCACAAACTGCTTTTAGAGACTAGACCTTCTGATGGCAAATGGTAACTTGCATGGTTTTTTTGTTTTTTATTTATTTATATGAACATGCATTGGTTACTTGTATTGTAGATCAACATAGCTTAAAATATGTCCTGATGATATCTAAGATTAGAAAATATAATAGTTTGAATATTTCAAATGCCTTGAGGAATATTCAGGTCAATTCCTTTTGCTCATTTCAACCACATTTGATGTTATTGGTTATAAGCTTTGGGAGGTCAAGATCCGTCTTCTTCTAGAGAGGGAATATAAAATACACCCACCCAATGGACCAATAAGAATGCATATTAATCACCTGATAAGCCATAATTATTAATTTTCATGATGATCTGTGGGGAACAAATCCCATATAGTTGAAATTCTATGGATCTAATTGGGATATTGTTGTTATAAGAATCTTATGACAAAATGGGATGCGCTCAAATTTGATGTTTATTAATGTGGGGATGGAGATTTCAAACTTTATATTCTTCTAACATTGGAAGTAAGAGAAACTTTTGTAAGGTACACCTGGTGTACTCGGAATATTATACAAAAGTTACTTTATAAGATGAAATTAAGTACATGTGATTAGGAATTCGAGATTTTTTTCATTGATTTTTTTTGAGTTCTGAAGAATTCTTAATGTGGATTAATAAATTTGATCCACTTAGTGGCGGGCTTTTATTGAACCGTTTAAAACAAAATTAGAAGTTGTGAGGCGGTGGATAAAATCCCATATTTAGCTGGACTTTTCTTCTTCCTCCTTCAACAAGTCTAACTCCAAAGAAACAAGTTTTGGTTCAAAAACTTCGTAAAATCATAACTTCCTCTTTATAACTCCAAAACACGAACCGCTTTGCCTAGATGATCGTGAGATCAAGCCCAACAATCCAAGGTAAAGTTTGAGGGCTATTGTTGAGATTCTGGAATTTCGCCAGTTTTTTGTCTGAGAATCAAATTCGTTGAAGAATTCTGGACTTTTGGCCTGTGATATCATTGCTGCCGCAATAGGGACCAAACTGGAAATAAGTTTGCAGATTTTGAGGCCATTTCGAAATTTCTGAAAGTTCAAGTCCAAAGCATAAATATCATAAGTTCTCGGACAACTTTGTAATTTTGGTAAAGTCAGGGTCCCTAATGAAAATCCAGTAAAGTTAAACAAGAATGTATAAAACCCTAGTTATAATGAAAATGGATTGTGTGAGTTACTGTTTATGGGATGAATAGTAACACATTTTTATTGTTGGATATTTTTCTTGTTGGATTAGGGATTTCAGTTACTTGTGACACATGGGGTTTGATCACGGTGTTTGTGAGGAATGTTATGTACTTGGCATGGAGACCACATAGGGGGATCCTCACTTGCCCTGGTTATGGCATTTTATGTATCTATGTTTGTGGGAACACATTTTTTGCCGGTCAATAAAAAGATGACACGTGGAAAAGGAATATTTATTAGGTAAACTATAAATCAAGGAACTAATTTACACCAAATCTCTTTGAGTAATTCCTATAATATTTTTGGGGAAGAATAATCATAATCAAATAAGGATTATTCTCCCAAAACCCTAGCACAAAAGGAGAAATAAATCTTTTGATAAAAGAACGATGGTATTTTATTGATAATATAAAAAAAAACAAGTAAAAAATCGACTAAGGTTCAACAATAGTATTCAATCTTTAAAATGAATATTGGCTGCCAGTAGGGAATAACTCAGTTGGTTGAGCTCTTCTAGCTAAAATATTTGTGCCGCTTAAAAAAAAAAAAAAAAAAAAAAAAAAAAAAAAAAAGTTGGCTAGTTCATGTGAAGTATTTTAAAACAAAAACCAAGTCACCCTATTAACTATGTCTTTGTTATGTAAAAAATGAAATAAAATAAAACAATGGGCACCAAAGGAATCCCTTCTTATAACAACATCCATATTATATTGAACAAAGTATAGTTTACAGTGGTCTCCCAATGCAGACTCTCCATTAACACTACAGTATAAGTATTGAATAATTATAAGTTATTGAGAAAAGTACTCGAGGACTGTATAATTAATAATAAAAGTAGTAATAACTATATAATTATTTGAGAGAACCACCGATTTCTTTTTTTTTTTTATTCTTCTTATTATGGTTGTTTTATTGCCTTATCAATAAAATTACGAACCTCAGGAGCACTCATAATCCCTTAATGGACCGTCTTAATCACGCATAATCACAGAGACCGTACACACAAGACGCTCCATTATTGCAGGGATGGTTGCACAGGCCACAATGCCTCTTGTCAGAACTCAGGTCCACGCACTGCCCTCCGCAACACGACTGCGTGTAGTTGCACTTCTTGTGGCATGCACCACAGTTGTCTTTGTTTACGGACAATTCCACGCACTTGTGGTTGCAGCAGGTGAAGATATGGCCCAGCGGCAAGTTGATGCATGTGTCCTCATAGTCCTCGTTGCACACATCCCTTTCAGCAAGGAAGCGATTCACCCTCTTGGAGGGCTGCAGCAACTTGTTTTCGTCGTCAGCCGACGGTTTGAAACAAAATAAAAAGTTGTGAGGCGGTGGATAAAATCCCATATTTGGCTGGACTTTTCTTCTTCCTCCTACAAGTCTGTAACTCCAGAGAAACAAACTTTGTAAAATCATAACTTCCTCTCTACAACTCCAAAACACGAACCGTTTTTGCCTAGATGATCGTGAGATCAAGTCCAACAATCCAAGGTAAAGTTTGAGGGCTATTGTTGAGATTCAGGAATTTCGCCAGTTTTTTGTTTGAGAATCAAATTCGTTGAAGAATTCTGGACGTTTGGCCTGGGATATCATTGCTGCCGCAATAGGGACCAAACTGGAAATAAGTTTGCAGATTTTGAGGCAATTTCGTAATTTCTGAAAGTTTATGGCCAAAGTGTAAATATCATAAGTTCTTGGACAACTTTGTAATTTTGGTAAACTCAAGGTCCCTAATGAAAATCCAGTAAAGTTAAACAAGAATGCATAAAACCCTAGTTATAATGAAAATGGATTGTGTGAGTTACTATTTATGGGATGAATAGTAACATATTTTTATTGTTGGATTTGGGATTTCAGTTACTTGTGACACATGTGGTTTGATCACGGTATTTGTGAGGAATGTTTTGTACTTGGCATGGAGACCACATAGGGGGATCCTCACTTGCCCTGGTTATGGCATTTTATGTATCTATGTTTGTGGGAACACATTTTTTGCCGGCCAATAAAAAGATGACACGTGGAAAATTTCCTTAGGTAAACTATAAATCAAGGAACCAATTTACACCAAATCTGTTGGAGTAATTCCTATAATCTTTTTGGGGAAGAATAATCATAATCAAATAAAGATTATTCTCCCAAAATCCTAGCACACAAGGAGAAATAAATCTTTTGATAAAAGAGCGATGGTATTTTATTGATAATATAAACAAAAACAAGTAAAAAAACGACTAAGGTTGAGCAATAGTATTCAATCTTTAAAATGAATATTGGCTGCCAGTAGAGTATAGCTCAGTTGGTTGAGCTCTTCTAGCTAAAATATTTGTGAAAAAAAAAAAAAAAAAAAAAAAAAAAATGTTGGCTAGTTCATGTGAAGTATTTTAAAACAAAAACCAAGTCACCCTATTAACTATGTCTTTGTTATGTAAAAAATGAAATTAAAAAAAAAACAATGGGCACCAAAGGAATCCCTTATTATAACAATATCCACATTATATTGAACAAAGTATAGTTTACAGTGGTCTCCCAATGCAGACTCTCCATTAACACTACAGTATAAGTATTGAATAATTATAAGTTATTGATTCATACAAATTCCAGACTCATAAATCAAGTTCTTAAATAGATCATAACATCGATCATTACATTTAGAGAAAAGCACTCGAGGACTGTTTTATTAATAATAAAAGTAGTAATAACTATATAATTATTTGAGAGAACCACCGATTTCTTTTTTTTTCTTCTTCTTCTTATTATGGTTGTTTTATTGCATAATCAATAAAATTACGAACCTCAGGAGCACTCATAATCCCTTAATGGACCGTCTTAATCACGCATAATCACAGAGACCGTACACACAAGACGCTCCATTATTGCAGGTATGGTTGCACAGGCCACAATGCCTCTTGTCAGAACTCAGGTCCACGCACTGCCCTCCGCAACACGACTGCGTGTAGTTGCACGTCTTGTTGCATGCACCACAGTTGTACTTGTTTACGGACAAATCCACGCACTTGTGGTTGCAGCAGGTGAAGTTAAGGCCCGGCAGCAAGTTGATGCATGTGTCATAGTCCTCGTTGCACAGGAGAACTGGTTTAAGGCTTCTTGCTACCAGATCCTTTTCAGCAAGGAAGCGACTCACCCTCTCGTCGTCAGCCGACGGTTGCTCTTTCCATGAGTCGGTGAAAGGGGATTTGCCTTCTTCTTCTTGATGGCTAACCCTTGTCCCGGTCGTGAGAGTGATAGACAAAGCCATGGTTGTTGCTATGATCAATAGAATCTTGATGACCTTCATGGCTTTGTCTCTCTCTGTGTTCGTGTGTTTTTTGTGTCTGTCTGGGTGAGAGAGAGAGAGAGAGTATTGGATTCTGAGGAGAGTTTGATTTGATGGGAGGAGGGGAAAACTCAGGGTATATAGTAGCGAGGGGTTGACGCGGGAAAGGTGGTAAAAGCTGATGGTTCTTTGGGATGTTACCCAAAGAGTGTGGTCAAATTCTAGGCTCTAGGGCATGTTATATTAGTCTTACTTGTTAATGTGATTCAAGCATGAAGCATATTGTTCTTCACATCTGAATGATCTCACTACCAATGTCACCAATAAAGTCAAATGGTAGTTTTGACATTTCACTACCCTTGATCCCTTCCGACCGTGGGGTGCCCGAAATATGAGAATCAAATATGCCGAAATGGGCGAACCTGAAGAAATTTAGGCATGCTGTTAGGGGAAGCAAAGGGATTGGCCATTGATGAAACGGTATTAATGAAAGAAAGAAAAAACATGTAAATGCAATTATGCAAGTTAACTAGCCCTGAAGGCTTAATATACTTCTACCAGCGTGTATTGTGTAGCACGTAAATATGAGTAATTTTTGGGTATTCCAGGTACACCGCGTGGCTGGTGTACCATCCAATAGACGGAAGACATATGGAATATTTGCAATACAGTCCGCCACATGTTATAAAAAGAAATGCAGTAAGTTAGATAATAATTCCACATGTCATATGTTTATTGGATGGTACACCAGCCACATGGTGTGCCCGGAACATATGAAAATTTCTCCGTAAATATAGAGTATGCCAAGTATCACGGGGAGCTCCGACAAATGAATGACCGCCACATACGCTTTTTAGGTAGATTAATTTGACACAAGTTTCGTATATTTTAGTATTGCCCAATTTTCAAATCATGTGTTTTAATTGATTTCTATGAGTTCATCAAGCTTGTTCCATTTTTTGTGTATGGAGAAATATTCAGAATGAACATGAATCAAGTGTGTTTTTAAAAGAAGAATTCTGGAATATTCTTTTAACCCAAGGACAAGTTGACTAATTGATGAATCCAATTTTTTTTTTTTTTTTTTTTTTTTTATTTTTTTTTATATAGTTAAAATTAAAAGTAATGTTTGTAGAACTCGTATTGTCTCTGTTATTTAGTTTTTTTGTGCGTTTAGGGGTTAATTCCCCTCCATTTCAACAAAAAAAATAAGAAAGTTATATGTTCATCTTGAGCCATTATAGTTAGTCCTATAAACAAACTAGAATTCAACCGATATTAAAGAAATTACTTTCCCAACAAAAAAAAAGATTTCTAAAGAAACTTTTTTGATTTTTTGATTGTCTATTAATCAACCAACAATAGCATAACGATTATATGAATGGATATCCTTGAATGTAAACTCATCAAATGAACGATTCATATCATAGAATTAAATTTTGAAATGAGACTGAACGAGTGATTATCATTGTATTAATATTAATATGTTATATGTACATATACGTTGAGTACGAATATTATTAACCCACAAACTGCTTTTAGAGACTAGACCTTCTGATGGCTGATGGTAACTTGCATGGTTTTTTATTTATTTATTTATATGAACATGCATTGGTTACTTGTATTGTAGGTCAACATAGCTTAAAATATGTCCTTACGATATCTGAGATTAGAAAAGATAATAGTTTGAATATTGGGTAAATTACTCAAATGGTCCTCAAATTTGTACTCGATTTATATTTTGGTCCCTCAATTAAATTATTCGTTTAAATAGTACATTAACTATATATTAATCGCTCCATTGGTCTTACCGTTACATTATGTCAAGGTTGTTGTTAAACATGAGGACAAATTGGTCATTTCGTACGTTAAAAATAAATAAATACTGAAAAATGAAATAAAATCGTGGGATTGCTAAATAAATCACTACCTTTCTCGAATTTCTACGTTGTAGCCATTTTGTTATGCAACATGCCGAATACATGCCCACAGGGAAGACAACTGAAATCATCAAACCAAAAATTAGATAAATAAATAATCAGAAATTTGTAATCAAATAATAGACTAAAATTGATGAGATCACAAGGAACTGAGGGTTCAATTCCAACCAGATGCGATGATAGCCGTCATTGGTCCAAGCGTCCAAGCAGATAAGGCAAAATAAATCACCGATTTCACTGTCTTGAGAGCCTCCTGCGCTTCCAATACCATTCACTGTCTCTCTCTGTCTCTCTCTCTCTCAAGCTCCAACCCCAAACCCATCCCACAGCCACTCTCCACCCAAATCCATTCAACAACCACCCTCCACCCTTGGCCCCATGAACAGCGGCGAACTTATAAATTTTTCAATGGAGGTGCAATTCCTAAAAGCTAAAAGCACAACAACAACAACAACAACAAAAAAGGACTCAAGAAGGAAAAAAATATGCAGGGGTGATGTAAAATATCCTACTTAAATAAGGAATTCCCAAAACCCAATTGAATAAAGAGAAATTCTAATTAAAACCTAATTAGGTAAGAATTATAAAAGCCCTTTAGAAGCCCACGAATGGCCCAATAGTTTCCCTTTTTTAATCTTTTTTATTATTATTTTAAATAAGGAGGTCTCCACATGCAGTAAGAACAGTGGCAAGGATGTAATCATCCACCTCAAAACCCTCTGTTCGCATCCGATACATGAGCTTCATAGCCTCCTGGCAGAGACCACTCTTTGCATAACCCACTATCATAGCCTTCCAAGAAACCAAATTCCGTTCTGGCATGCTGTAAAAAACATTAGACATGGCAGGACTTTTATTTGCAGAGGAGTGAATTAATTTCCAGTGCAGAACGGTTTCTAGCTGGGTCATGCTTTCAAAGAGGATGAGTAAGTAAATGCGTTGGGATCCACCCCATCCTCCATCATTTCATTCAAGAGCAGCGCATAGCAGCGCAATTTACTTGCGCATTTCATCGAACAAATTCCGTGCATGAGCAGAGGTGCAACTTCAGCTGCTTTTATGGAGTTTTCCTGCGACCGGAGGTGCAAGTGCACCTCCTTGCGCCTGCACAGGTCCGCCATTGCCCATGAACCCAGAACCCCAGCTCCTCACCACCCTCCACCCAAGCCAGCAACTACAGAAAAAGGAAAGAAAAAAAAATCTTCCACAGACCCCCTCCCAACGAACCCAGAACCCCAACTCAACAACCAATCAGACCCTCTCCCCTTCCCCCTTGATTTCCCTTTGTTGTTGAGAGACAACCACCCACCACCCTCCTCCCCACCTCATCACCCGCCAACCCCACCTCCCAAAATCATAGCCACTGTCAATTTCTCACACTCCAAGTGCACTCTCCTCTCCTCCCACCTCACCTCCTCATCTTCCAAACCATCCAAACTACCCAAACTCTTTCCCCACACCCACAACTCTATGCCCACATGGAGAGGTCTGTGGGGAATGGGGGAGAAGAAATCGAAGAGAGGGGGTTTGGGTCTCATGATTTTTTTTCTCTTTTTCTTCAATTATTTTCTAATTTTGTATTTATTTTAACCCTATTTTATTTGTTAATTATGAAAAAGTCGTATTAACCCTAAAATTTGGTTATATTTAACAGAAAATTAGATGGTAGGACCAATAGAGCGATTAATATATAGTTAATGGGCCATTTGAATGAAAAATTTAATTGAGGGATCAAAATGTAAATCGAGTACAAGTTTGAGGACCATTTGAGTAATTTACCATTGAATATTTCAAATTCCTTGAGGAATATTCATGTCAATTCCTTTTGCTCATTTCAACCACATTTGATGTTATTGGTTATAAGCTTTGGGAGGTCAAGATCCGTAGTCTTCTGGAGAGGGAATATAAAATACACCCAATGGACCAATAAGAATGTATATTAATTACCTAATAAGCCATAATTATTAATTCTCATGATGATCTGTGAGGAACAAATCCCATATAGTTGAAATTCTATGGATCTAATTGGGATATTGTTGTTATAAGAAACTTATGACAAAATGGCATGCGCTCAAATGTGATGTTTATTAATGTGGGGATGGAGATTTCAAACTTTATATTCTTCTAACATTGGAAGTAAGAGAAACTTTTGTAAGGTACACTTGGTGTACTCGGAATATTATAGAAAAATTACTTTATAAGATGAAATTAAAGTACACGTGATTAGGAATTCGAGATTTTTTTCATTGAATTTTTCAGAGTTCCGAAGAATTCTTAATGTGGATTATTGAATTTGATCCACTTAGTGGCGGGCTTTTATTGAACTGTTTGAAACAAAATTAAAAGTTGTGAGGCGGTGGATAAAATCCCATATTTGGCTGGACTTTTCTTCTTCCTCCTTCAACAAGTCTGTAACTCCAGATAAAAAAGTTTTGGTTCAAAAACTTGTAAAATCATAACTTCCTCTCTATAACTCCAAAACACGAACCGTTTTTGCTAGATGATCGTGAGATCAAGTCCAACAATCAAAGGTAAAGTTTGAGGGCAGATTCTGGAAGTTCGCCAGTTTTTTGTCTGAGAATCAAATTCGTTGAAGAATTCTGGACTTTTGGCCTGGGATATCATTGCTGCCGCAACAGGGACCAAACTGGAAATAAGTTTGCAGATTTTGAGGCCATTTCGTAATTTATGAAAGTTTATGGTCAAAGTGTAAATATCATAAGTTCTCGGACAACTTTGTAATTTTGGTAAAGTCAAGGTCCCTAATGAAAATCCAGTAAATTTAAACAGGAAAGTATAAAACCCTAGTTATAATGAAAATGGATTGTGTGAGTTACTATTTATGGGATGAATAGTAACATATTTTTATTGTTGGATTAGGGATTTCAGTTACTTATGACACATGTGTTTTAATCATGGTGTTGGTGAGGTATGTTTTGTACTTAACATGGAGACCATATAGGGGGATCCTCACTTGCCCTGGTTATGGCATTTTATGTATCTATGTTTGTGGAAACACATATTTCGCTTGCCAATAAAAAGATGACACGTGGAAAACGAATATTCCTTAGGTAAACTATAAATCAAGGAACCAATTTCCACTAAATTTCTTGGAGCAATTCCTATCATCTTTTTGGGGAAGAATAATCATATAATCAAATAAGGATATTCTCCCAAAACCCTAACACACAAGGAGAAATAAACCTCAGGAGCACTCACCGATTTTTTTCTTCTTCTTCTTATTGTGGTTGTTTTATTGCATAATCAATAAAATTACGAACCTCAGGAGCACTCATAAGCCCTTAATGGACCGTCTTAATCACGCATAATCACAAAGACCATACACACAAGACGCTCCATTCTTGCAGGGATGGTTGCACAGGCCACAATGCCTCTTGTCAGAACTCAGGTCCACGCACTGCCCTCCGCAACACGACTGCGTGTACTTGCACTTCTTCTTGCATGCACCACAGTTGTCCTTGTTTACGGACAAATCCACGCACTTGTGGTTGCAGCAGGTGAAGTTCCTATGGCCCGGCAGCACGTTGGGGCATGTGTCATAGTCCTTGTTGCACTGGGAAGCTGCTTTAAGGCTTCTTGCTACCAGATCCTTTTCAGCAAGGAAGCGACTCACCCTCTCGTCGTCAGCCGACGGTTGCTCTTTCCATGAGTCGGTGAAAGGGGATTTGCCTTCTTCTTCTTGATGGCTAACCCTTGTCCCAATCGTGAGAGTGATAGACAAAGCCATGGTTGTTGCTATGATCAATAGAATCTTGATGACCTTCATGGCTTTGTGTCTCTCTGTGTTCTTGTGTTTTTTGTGTCTGTCTGGGTGAGAGAGAGAGAGAGAGGGTATTGGATTCTGAGGAGAGTTTGATTTGATGGGAGGAGGGAAAAGCTCAGGGTTTATAGTAGCGAGGGGTTGACGCGGAAAGGTGGTAAAAGCTGGTGGTTCTTTGGTATATTCTAGGCCCTAGGGCATGGTATAATGATGTCCACAGTGACGCAAAGAATGTGGTCAAATTCTAGGCCCTAGGGCATGGTATATTAGTCTTACTTGTTAACGAAACTTAATTGATATGAGCACTCAAACTCAACCCCTCCATTTTCAAAGGGCACCCTCCATTTCAAAGACCCTATGATGCATGAAAAATTACATAGTACGTAGTAATATCAAAAATATCATTTCTCTTGGACTAATTACCAGATCGTGATCATGTTATATGACAGATAATCCGTTTTATTTATTTATTTATAATTTATAATATGGGCGATATTAGATGAAGGAGTTTATCTCATGAAGGTTCAAATCTGACTAATGGTCTACATCCGGTGATCTACTTATTAAAATTGAAAGGTCTATAAGTAATGTAACACGAATGAACCATAGATGCTAGATCTAATGTGATTCAAGCATGAAGCATATTGTTCTTCACATCTGAATGATCTCACTACCAATGTCACACCAATAAAGTCAAAGGGTAGTTTTGAGATTTCACTACCCTTGATCCCTTCCTACCGTGGGGTGCCCGAAATATGAGAATCAAATGTGCCGAAATGGGCGAACCTGAAGAAATTTAGGTATGCTGTGAGGGGAAGCAAAGGGATTGGCCATTGATGAAACGCTATTACACAACGAACCAAACAGATCGCCCAAACCTTAAAAACGTTTTTCTACTTGACGTGTCCTTTTCTAAACTATACTTATTAATCAAGGAAAAAAATAAAACATGTAAATGCAATTATGCAAGTAAACTAGCCCTGAAGGCTTTAATATACTTCTACCCGCGTTTATTGTGTAGCACGTAACTATAGAGTATGCGAAATATCACGGGGAGCCCCGGCAATTGAATGACTGCCACATACGCTTTTGGGCAACTTAATTTGACACAAGTTTCGTATATTTTAGTATTGCCCTATTTTCAAATCATGTGTTTTAATTGATTTCTACGAGTTCATCAGTCTTGTTCCATTTTTTGTGTATGGAGAAAGATTCAGAATGAACATGAATCAAGTGTGTTTTTAAAAAAAGAATTCTGAAATATTCTTTTAACCCAAGGACAAGTTGACTAATTGATGAATCCAATCAATTTTTTTTTCTTCCCAATTCTCAAATTGTTAATTATGTGTTCTCTTTTTTTTTCTTTTTTTCTTTTTCCTTTTTGTATGTTTTTATAGTTAAGTTGAAAGTAATATGTTCGTAGAACTCGTACTGCCTATGTTATTTAGTTTTTGTGTGTTTAGGGTTTAATCCGCCCTATTTCAACAACAACAAAAATGTTTGACTTAAGCAATTCCTGTTTGGGTGTGCTTTTGGAAATGCCAAAAGCGCTTTCTGATAACTAAAAGCACTTCTGACAGCATTTGGCAGAAAAGTTTAGAAGCGCTTCAGGTTTATAGAAGCACTTCTTGGAGAACCACCTGCTATGTGCTTCTTCAAGAAGCACTCCCAAGTGCTTTTCTACGAAACACTTTAATTTTTTATGAAAATTCAAGATTTTTAGGCCTCGGAAACACAAAGTCACCCGAGCCACATTCCTTACAAGATTCAGGGGACACTTGGTCAACCTGAGCCGCATCCTCACTCCTCACAGTTTGGATATCCCTAATACTCGTGGGGCAATTGTCAAACGCGCGCTGACTCAACTGAAGGCAACTAGGATGTTTGTGGACATCATTATAACCGAAGGCAATAATTTACCCGAAGCCAACATATTATCTGAAGACAACATTTTGGGTACCTATGGGGGTTTAAACACCTTTCCTGAAAAATTATAATACTATTTCTCATTTATCCTTAAATCATGTTATTATTTCCTCTTCTACTTTCCAAGCCATTCACATTTAAACATAAACATAATTTAATAAAAACATTTGAATTCAAACTAATTGCTTGGAAAGCAAAGCTATAAATAATTCATTCAAGAGAAATAATAAAACATTTACTCATAAAATTCATTTATAAATCAAAAGTCCACTCATTGTGCGTCCAAGCTAGCCTGACCCTTCGACGGTCTTTCCTTAAATCCTGTTATTATTTCCTCTTCTACTTTCCAAGCCATTCACATTTAAACATAAACAAAATTTAATAAAACCATTTGAATTCAAACTAATTGCTTGGAAAGCAAAGCTATAAATAATTCATTCAAGAGAAATAATAAAACTTTTACTCATAAAATTCATTTATAAATCAAAAGTCCACTCATTGTGCGTTCGAGCTAGCCTGACCCTTCGAGGATCTTTTCTGCGGTTTCAATGAAGCTCGAGTACCTATTTAAGTGATTAAAAATATTTAATTAATAAAATACCTCCACCACAAATATTTAATAAAAACCCTGGCCCCTGGCCTTAAAATGCATGTACATAATTTAAGAAAGTTCCTAGACCCATTTTCAATAGTTCCAATCGGTGGAATGGTCTGAAAAGACCCGATGTTAAATTAGCGATTAATTTCCCATAGTGGTCAACCCGGTACCCTATGGGGTCCACGACCTCCGATTAATAATCCGAGAGTTCCTATATTATCTGATTGGACAACTATCGTTTATCTACACTTTGAATTATTGAATCGGAGTATCCGGGTCTCCGATTCTCGATCCGCGAATTTCTACCATATCCTATAGATGTCTAGATCAACATATTTTAAATTGGAGTCGATCCAATGGTCCAAACATATCGAACTAGGATAACGCCTAATATGCGATATCCGATCAACAATCAAACGGTAACCAAAATGAAATCCAAGCATATCGTCATGCTCGGGACGAAGTGGGGATCATTTTAGGACCAAAACCCAACCTTGACATCCTACCGACGCGCCGCCACCCCCGACAGATGTCTAGAGTAATTTTCCGGCGATTGGAAAACTCCAAACTGCCTACCAATATTTATACCTACAGATCAAGCACATCAAGAGGAGTAACTTTATACCTTGGCTTGAAGATCAATTCCACCATTAAAGCCCTCGAACGAATGATTTCCCCTTTGAAAAACCTAGAAAGTTTTGGGTTTGGATTTGACAATTTCTACTTGAAATTGGGTCGGGTCTTTGAGGGAAATCACATAGGGGAGGTAAGGGAGTGTTTTGGAAGTGATTTGGTGGCGGGTGGTGGCCAGAGTTGACCGAAAATGGCGTCGAAATTTCGGGTTTTGAAACAGCCAGTTTTTGGGCTCTGTTTTCATTCGATTTTTTGGTTTAATCGCTTGGAATCATGGCTAGATATGGGTATGTATGGAAATAGGAGAGAGAGATGAAGAGTTTGCAAATTTGGTGGTCGGATGGAGGAGATATCACTGTTTGAAGTTTCTTGTTCGTGGAGAAGAAGAAGAGATGAAGAAAATTTGGGTTTTTAAAAACTGAACTTCGAAATATTTACGGTTATATCACTGTGCTTCCATAGATCATAACTTCTTCGTTATAACTCCGATTTGAGCCCACTATATGTCTATTGACTCATCTCAACGTGCTCTACGCAACGGTACTATTAAAGTCCTCAAATTCCTTCCCAAACAAAAAGTCAACTTTTAAACCATAAAAATATTCTTGAGATAAAATTGTTTTTTATTTGAATAAATTAATAATTAAATATTAATTTAGGATCGAGTTATTACATAGATGACGTTGTTGGAATAGAGAAGATAAATCCTAACCTCGTTAAATAGGAGGCTTACATCCCGATGATATTTGTGAGGCCACTCTTCTCAGGAGAATCTCCACATACCCGAACATCTTCCGATTTGATGACGTTTTTTCTTTGAAGGATAAAGTGGAGAAGAAACCCATATTTACCTTGTGTTCTATTATCTTAACAATACACTTTTTATGCTCGTCGAATAAAACAGACACCTTAGAGCATGCTGATATGAAACGTTTTCTTTACCAGATACTTAGTGGAGTAGCCCACTGTCAATCGCATAATGTCCGTCAACATGATTTTGGGAGAGTCAAAATATACTTTTTGATGCAAAATCTCACACCCTCAAGATTGTGGATCTTGGCTCAGGCCGTGACTTCACTTTTGGGCACTACAACAGTTACTCGCCAAAGTGATGGCCAATATCGCATATAAGGCAGCTGAATTGATGTTACTCACTGGAAAATACTCAACCGCAATCAACGTTTGGTCGGTTGGCTCCATATTTTGTGAGTCTAATAATTTGTGCTATTTGAATTTTCAAACAATTAATTTACTATGAAAATCTTGTATTGTATTGCATCTTCTAAGCAGACTGAGGTGATTTTTTTTCATTTTTTCATTTTTTTTATCGAAGAAAAAAAAAGAAAATGCTGTTATTGTGTAAGTTAGTGGGATTCCAACATAAGAGAAGTGGGACGGAGTCACTCATGAGTCATAATGGCCAAAAGAGGAGAGTTGGGAGTTAGATTTTGCATATTGCATGAAAAACACATCTTACATTCTTTGATTGAAAGCTTTGTCAACTTTTGTTCCAGATTTGGATTTCTATGGGATATGCCTTCTATAGGTGAGTCATGATCATTGTTTTGTCTTGATCTAAGAGGCACGGACACGGATACAGCGATATGATACGACATGACACGGGGATACGGCAAATCTCCGAAAACTGGGATACGATACATCATGGATATGACAATTAAAAATTTATATTAAAATATAATAATAACAATATATATAATTTAAAACATATTTTAATTAACATAAAAATTCAAATTCATCAACTAAATTCAAATTTAAAAAAAAAAAAAAAAAAAAAAAAAAAAAAAAAAAAAAAAAAAACAACTCTCAATCAATAATTTGTAATGTCTTCTTCCTGGTAAATAAAGCAACCTCCAATGATGGTTTATCAAGAGAAAGGTTAGCAATTTCAAGCATCCCAACACCTTCTTCACCCAAGCTATCAAATCCATCTCCTCCAATATCCCACATTTGAGTAACACCTTCTTTGTAGCTTAGGCTCTTCCTTGATAAGAGACAAAGATTATTATGCACAAATACCAAGTTTTCAGCTCTTTGGGTGTTAACTTGTTCCTTCTTAAAGAGTGAATGAAACTATATGTACTCCAATTTTTTTCACAACACAAGGAGAAACAAGGTTGTCCAAGTAGCTTCAAAGCTATGGATGAGAGAGTTGGTGTTGAAGCTCCATGAACAATCCACCACACCATTGGTTCTATGTGAAACCTATCATTCATAGCATCAATAGCTCCAAAGTCATCTAAGCACATTGAAAAAGAGGCATACTCCACGTTGATATCTCTTGTTGCTCGGTCATCTGAAAAGTATTTCTCAAGACACTTTTTTCTATCCCTTGTAATCTCGACATCTTGGTGTGGAGCAACACGGCTAGGATCCTCTTGCAGCCATTTTGAACTTTTAAACCTAAAAGTAAAGTGTGATATTATTTTATAAAATTATCACAATATGAAAAGTAAATTTCAAATCCTTTAAAAGGAAAGAAGCACATAATACTTACCTAGGATTTAAACAATGTGCAAAATAATGGAGTGGTGTGCTACTCTTAGTCCATCGCTCCACTAAAATGTGATACACCACATCAAAAAAGTCGCTTTGTTCATGCAGTTGCTTGTGTTCTTTCCTATAGATAGTTGCCTTCACTTTCTCTATCATGGTATCCCACCACTCATAAACCAAGTAAAGAGAAGGTTTATCTATGTCAGCTAACAGAACTCGCCCCGAATTTCTCAAAACCCTGGACGAATCCTGTGAAAATCCCGGCATCACACCAATGCCAGGCCCATTCACTAAAACTGTAACCACCTTTTCCAAAAAGGGGTAAGGGCACGAGACTTTTGGTCGAAAATTTGGCAGAGTCTCCCTTATAAATTGAACATTTCCCAAAAATTTCAACCTGCATAAAACACTTTTAACAACACCAACTGGCAGCATGCATAATGTAAAAACATGCAATTCACATAAATGGCCTCCGACCTTCCAATAATTCAAAGCAATGCAACCAACAACGCTATCAAATCAAATAAGGTCCTAAACCAAGCATATAATAAATTCCACCAATTTTATAAATACCTATTGTATCAACATAATTTAACTTCCCAATTTCCATCATGGGGTGTCTAACATCCAAACCCAAACACAAATAGTTGAAGGCCTCAGCCCAAATCGGACAACGAACCAAAACGGATTTCAAACCTAGCTAAACCACAATCACCTAATCCAACGGAATAATAAATATTTATTCAATCAAGCCTAGTTTTTATCCGAACTTCAGGACCAAACACAAGGTCAGCACCACAGCTGTACCTAGGCACTAGCCTAGGCTACCTACGTACCCATACTAAGGGATCAAGCCACACGTAGTTCTTTCCCTAAAACCCTTTACTTTAAGTCACAAGTCACCGAACATAATCTTTAATTTATTACCCTAATAATCCCATAATCTCCCCATATGCCGGAACATCCAACGCCACGTATGGGGCCTGTCAACACGCCGGAAAATCCTACACCACGTGCGACCTCAACATAATATCACAATCTCCCCATATGTCGGAAAATCCAATGCCACGTATGAGGTTTGTCAACACGCCGGAAAATCCAAGGCCACGTGTGACCTCTCATCTCATATCACATAATCTCCCCATACGTTGGAACATCCAATGCCACGTATGGGGTCTGTTAACACGCCGGAAAATCCAACGCCACGTGTGACCTCTCATCTCATATCACATAATCTCCCCATATGCCGGAACATCTAATGCCACGTATGAGGTCTGTCAACATACCGGAACATCCAACACCACGTATGAGGTCTGTCCATACGTCGGAAAATCCTACGCCACGTGGGACCTCACAATCACAGGATGGTACTTACAATGAAATCAATCATCTTTATAATATATATATATATATTAAATTCCCACAGTAAATAATAATACTTATTTCCACGATTTCCCCTAGTTTAAAATAATAACTTAATATTCTAATCTCACATAATCAAAATAACTCAGCTAACGCCCAAGGCTTGTCACTATGGTCATGTTAATCCTCCTAGGAAGGTAAGACTACCTCGGAAGACTAACGGTCAACCAAGAATCAAACTACCCAAACCTAGTCAAATGGGCCCACGAGGCCCACGACCTCCAAATTCTGATTTGAAAGTTCCTATGTGTTCTACACGGCCTAGGACACACGTCCTGCAAGTTTGGTCCAGATCTGATGGTCGGATCGCTCACGATCGCACAATCAAACGGTTACAGTAAACCTAGCCCTAGGGTTGGCATTTCCGGAGTATCCGGGACTCCGTTTTACAATCCGTCGAATCCTACACGATCTTAAGGGTGTTCGAATTAACATATAATAAGTTCAAGATGGATCCAACTGTTCAATCCTATCGAACCCGGATAACGCACAATAGGCGATATCCGTTCGAGACTCAAATGATATCCAAATTGAAATCCAAGCACACCTACGCATTCTTGAGGACCAGAAGATTACGTCGGGACACAATACCCTTTTCCTACAGTGCCCACGCGCCGGCAGCGCTTGGGTGTCCATAGCGATAACCCATCGCCGGAAAATCTCAAAATAAATTCTGAAGACTCCTACCCTAGGTATAACACCCTATTTGGAACCACTTTTGTTCTTGGACCTACCCCAAAAACTAACCGAAAGTGGCCGGAATCGTGATCCCAAAATCGATCAAAATCCAATTCGAAAATCAAACAATCTAGGCCCAAAATTGATGCAATCCTACCCAACCATCAGCTAGATCATGAAGAATGGATGAATTTCCATAACTTGATCACCAAAAATGGAGGCCGGAGGAAAGAGATCGAGGGGCTAGAATTTTTCTCCCGAAACCGGTCGGTTTTCTGCAAAATCCGACTGTGTCGCTATCGGCTAGCGTCGAAGAACAGGTAGGGAAGGAAGGCCGAGCCAGGCCGGTCATTTTGGGACCGGTCCCGGGCCAAACGGTGGTCGGACATGACGGTGGCAGTCGGCGGAACTCGTGATTGCTACAGTCGCGGGGGGGGGGGGGGGGGGGGGGGGGGGGGGGGGGGGGGGACAGAGAGAGAGAGAGAGAGAGAATGAGAGGCTTTTCTGACTTTTATCAAACTATTTTCGCAATATTTACGGTTATGCCACTAAGGGTATTTTGATCATATCTTTCTCGTTACAACTCCGATTCAAGCACACTACGTCTCTACGGATTCATCTCGTCGTGCTCTATGCAACGGTACTATCGAAATTCTCAAATTCTTTCCCGGTCAAAAAGTCAACTTTAAACCTAATAAAATATTTTAGGGGCAAAATGGTCTTTTATCTGAATAATTTAATATTTACCAATTTCTTTAGGACCGGGTCGTTACATCAGCCATTCTAATAATCTCATATATATAAATTGTAAAGGAAAGTATATATTCAATATTATTGCAAAAGTATTCATCCAATATCTTTTCCTTCATTGCTCTTGATTTGCCAATATCATCCTCTTTATATAAAGACCAATTTGGATTAATCACCATTTGTTGTAGACCTTCCTTTACTTCCTTAAATCTTCTGATCATCACAAGTGTAAAGGCAAATCTTGTTTCAGCAATGTAGAGCATCTTTAATTTGCAGTGGTCATTATATATAACCAATCTCATATTATGGTTCACAGAAAAAAGAAAAAAAAATTATGTACCCAACATCATCAGCAATGACTGAAATCCAACTACATTGATCATACCAATCATCATTTAGTTTTGGTGAACATATGCTCTTCAAAGCAAGATTAAGTGTCCAAAAGATATTGGGATATCTAGCCTCAACAAGTAATCCAGCAGCTCTACAAACTGGCACATTGTCAGTGATTACTTAAACCATATTTTGATAACCAATTTCCTTAATGAAGTCGATAAGAAAGTTGGCAATACGATTTTTGTCCTTGTACTCTACTTCACAATTAATTCCCTTCAAGAACATAGGCCCGCTCTCACAAGTTGCCATAATGTTAATAAGTGGTCTTCTTTGCGAATCTGTCCACTCATCACTACACATACTTACACCTTTATTGCTCCATGTACCCTTGATTGGTTGTAAACACCGCTCAATGTGACTCTTCTCTTGTTGCAAAAGAGTAGTTCTTAGTGCATTATAACCTAGTGGAACATATCCTAGAAGTGTAGAAGCAAGAACATAAGAGTTCCGATAATGTGGATTCCTTACATGGTGGAAGGATAATCCATCAGTATAAAACATCCTTGCAACTTCAGCATCACATTGTTCTCTAGCCTATTTTTGAAAAGCTATATCAAGAGGCCCATTGATTCTCTTTCTCTTCTTTTGCTTAACATTAGACACAGAAAAATAAAGTAAAGAACCAGTATTAGGCAAAGACACTTGTCTTGGAGCTGCACTTTTCAACCGGTATTCACATTCTCTCACAAGTTTTTTCATTTATACAAAAACTTAATCAGTAACCTTTTTGCAAGGTGCAATCCCGTTTCCCGACATTTTCAACAAATGAAATTTGACTTTGGAGTAGGAGCCTTTGTAAGATTTATGACAATAATTGCATTCAAACATAGTATTTCCTTCTCCTTTTCCTAACTTGTCAAGCCTTTTAACATACTTCCACAATGGAGCATGATCATCTACCTCGATTTCATTATTCTCAGTAGGATTAACATTAGCACTTGCATTATTATCCAGATGACTCATGTTCTTGAATATAAATAAAATTCAACATATTAAATATAATATTATTAATTTACCTAACCACAATTTTTAAAAAAAAAATCGAATTGCTCGTCACGTGGAAAGGAGGGGGGTGGTTTGATTATGTACTAACTGACATGTGATACCTGCAAGTTCACATGTGATAGCTATAGACATGAAACATAATAATGATATAATATATGTGTTGGTTACATTACATGTTGTTGAGGCTCAAAAAATCCAAGGCTGGGTACGCAAGAGTTCGTCATATATTTCTAGCCCAATACGACACCTAACTTGGGTACGCAAGAGTTCGTCATATACACGTGCCACGCCAAGAAAATAAGTAACATGCCACACTACAAGCTTAAGTGGGCCCAAGCCACCCGAATGCCTGAGGCTTGCTGAGTGGGTTGTGGTATGGATGGTTACGAGTCTTTATGAGGCCCATTAATGAGCCGAGAAATGGAAGTTTTGGGCAGCTTGGGAGCCCCGAAACTCAAGCTCATTTTTTGAGCCCAAATATGTGGGTAAGCATAAAGAAGAGAAAATAGCTCAATACTCTAGGAAATTAGCTGATTCCCTTAATGAGTTAAACCATCACCTTAGAAATGCCCAAACGACCAAGGAAAATATTTGCAGCCTCTAGCACTTAGCTGGAAACAAGGGCCACGACAAAAGCCAAGGGTTACTCATGTATGCAGGCTTCTAGGAGTCTCCAACACATGGCCAAGAAACAAACCCAAGGCAAACCACTCGAAGAACCAAAGGATATTAGCTCGCGCAGCACCTTTCAGACCAACGTTGTTACCCATCTCTTTCTTCTACCAGCTCTTGTAGTGATATGGGAGGAAAGAAAAAGAGATAGTAACCAAAGATAAGAGATTGCCACTGGAACAGCTGCGGGAAGGCTCTAGAGCCTCCAAAAATCTTGTCTTTGAGTGCTTGGACTAAGGAAGATTTCACAAAATAAGGATGAATCAAAGGAAGAGAAGAGAAAATGAGGGAGAGACTTGGCAGATTGGGGAGAAACCATCTAGGGTTTCTTGGGAAGAAGGAGCTTCCAGCACCTATAAAAAGAGGCATTTCCTATCCATAAAAAAGAACAAATATCCATAGAGCAAGCTTCATCTCTCATACCTGAAACCTCTGCAATTTCAAGCCCTATTCCTCCATCTCCTCCCATTTTCTTTTTTGGTAAATCGTTCTAGAGCTTGACAGAGCTTTTGTCAAGCTGCCAAAAACTACTCAATACACCCATTGTTATTCCCTCACATCTCTCTCTTCAACAAACCCTCTTACAATTCTTTCTCCTTTACTTTAAAAACCATGTTTGTCATAGAAACTCACAACACACACACACACACACACACACACACACACACACACTCTCTCTCTCTCTCTCTCTCTCTCTCTCTCTCTCTCTCTCTCTCTCTCTCTTTAATTCTAAACTCACGACTGCTTTGCTTCCATGCCACAATCTTTTCATGTCAAGCTAAGAATCTATCTGTAAGCCATTGTTGGTTTCATTGGTGAAGGAGACCAACGTGTTTCCTATGGTTCAGCTACCCTTTCGAAGCATTCTTGGGGTCTAATCCTTGAACTCAAACTCATACACAATTTCACACATTTGGCTCTTTACAGTAGCCCAAGCCCATCTATAGTTGCTGGAACGAAAAAGCCCCTACACATGTAATATAATAATATATATGTAAAGTGTAGGTCACATAAGGACAAAAAGTGTGAACATACAGAACCAAAAACAAAGAGAGAAGTGTAAAAAAGTTGGACCAGAGAACATATATCATAGAGAAAAGTGTGAAAATACCAATGACCACACCAAAAACACAAATCAGAGAGAGAAGTGTGAGAAACAGACAAAACCAAAATTCACCAACAATCCCACCACCACGACCACACCAGATGAATATAAGAACCTAGGTTTGTTTTATATGGGTGAAGAAGAAGAAGAGGAATTGATGAAGAACAAGAAGAAGAAGAATTGATGGGTGGTTGCGGTCGGCTTTACTTCTTTATTTATATAAAGAATAAGAAGATCAAGAAAAGATCTTCAAAGTTTCAAAAGAGGTAAGACAAACATCCCGTGTTGTTCAAGACTTCGAATTTATGTCGAATTCTAATTTTTCCCAAATTTTTTTCTTAAAGCATATCCTTTCATCATTGACCATATCCGTTGACTCGGATACGTATCCCGCGCGTATCAGTGCGTATCCACTATGTATCGTATCCCCCAGCGTATCGAACACGGGATACGCTGGTCTAGCTGCGTATTCGTGCTTCTTAGGTCTTGATGAATAGCTCTAAACTTTGATCTTCTTGTCATTCTCTCACTTGTTTTATTTAGGATTTTATTATAAGTTCACCTACATTTGCCATACTTTCCATGTTTGACTGTATCTTACTTTTTGGACAATGCAACGAATGCTAACATATGATCATGCTAAGTGAATCATAGCAGAAGAAGCATTGCGTTATAACTATTTCACGAGAGTTGAAACTCATTAGTGGTAAGCATTTGAATTGGTATGTATTTTGCATTGTAAACTCAATTACTAGTATAATGCAGTACTGCAGACAACCATGGTTAGTCCTCTTTGTTACGTATTTCATGTGAGACTATAGTCTATATGGATAATGAATTCACTTCATTATATATGATTGCATGAAAATGACTGATTTGTGCCCAGAAAGTAAAAGATGGATAAGACATCTGTTTTTGTTTATGTTCATAACTTGACCATTTTGGTGATGCACTAGAGACTCCTCTGGTATGATTGTCCAGCTCCATATACACCAATTATTGTTTGAATTTATTCCTATGCAACACATCATCCATTCCAAGATTCGGATTAGGATGTCGATCATTTGGTCTATCTTGTGCCAAAACTACACTGCTATCACCAAGATTTATGACATACACATCCCATTGAAGCAAGTTTGGCATTTTTGTCAAGAGCCTTTTCCACCATTCATTTATAAGCCTCTTCAAACATTGCCCTTAAAACTACTGAATGAGCAACAATTTCTACTTTGTATCTCCCTAGAGGCACAAAGGCTCTCACATTTCCCATTTGCAATTCCTAATAGGTCACAATTATTGTGAGAGCCATCATCTTATGCAACGACTTATGCTGTACTATTCACCCATTTAGATTTTAATCCTGTGATAGTAGGGTAAAATTCCTCATTGGCTTGACAACTATTTGTGGTCAACAAGTCAACTTTCTTTTGTGTGTGAGCATGCCATTGCTAGCGGTTCAAAAACCCTAGCATACTTCTAAAAAATAGATAACTTGAGCCGGAAGTTACGGACTTTTAAACAAGCAATTGTGAATTTTGGTGAGGAATATCTCCCAAGTGAGTTCTTTTCTTGCCTCAGACTGGTGAGAACTTCACAATTTTCACAGTACAAAATTGGTAGTTTTGGCTAGAATAAATGGAAAGAAAGTAAATTGTTTAGGCAGAACTGGCCATTACAAATCTCAGAAAGAGAAGAAGCCAACCCCAGAAAAGACAACAAAGTGTTGGACTTCAATTTCTGTTTGGGTAGCTGCTTCTGAACTGGGCTGGATTTGTTGTGTCTGTGCTGGATTGGATCGTCAACACCTTCAACTAATGAGTTTCAGCTGGAAATCGATACCAACGTTTAAGTTTGGCAGAGTTTCAATTTATTTTGAGCCATGGAATGCTTGCTGAACGGGCAGAATTGAGGCCTCTCCAATTTGAAGGGAACAAAAGTGGCTACACTGATGGTCACTGAGCTGGAACTACGCCATGGTGCATGTTCAGCTCGACCAAGGCTTTCTGTAAATTTGTTGAGGTTTTCATATTTGTGAAAAAACCCTGACTCCGCTTGACTTGGCTTTGTGCTAAACCAAATTTGTAACGAGAGTAATCTCGCTTTGAAAAAACTGTTTCTCTGAGCTGAACTGAAATCAGAGATTTGAATTATAGCTGACTTGTTTCTTGTGGCTCAATGAGCTTTGGTTGCTTCAGTGTTTGAAGGCTTTTGAGATCAATGGATCTTTTTGAGTTTGTCAATTGTGACTTTGAGAGTTTTTGTTTTGATTGATTTTTTGGTTGTCCCCTATCTGTTCACCCTCTCTCTTATTTTATAGGAAATGCTGGAGTGGGGGTTTTAATATTTGATTAATGGGCTGCAAATCTTTTCAAAAGATCTTTCTTTTTAAATGTCACAAAAATGGGAAGTTATCTATTCTGGCAGAGAAGAACCATCAACAGTCAGTGCCTATGATGGTCTTTTTCTTGCTTTTCCCAAAAAGAAAATCAACTCATTTTGCTCTCTATTTGTTCCTTGTAAAGAAGGAAAGACATAATCTGCCATGATGGTCAGTTTGTTTGTTTGGTTTTTATTTTTTATTTTTTTTATGAACAACTCTCTTTATCCCTACTTATCTTTTGAAAACGTAGCCTGCTTATATCTTGAAAAGGTAACCTTCTTTGGTACAAAGCTTTTCTATGTATAATTTGATCTTCTTCCTTGGCTACAAAGATTAGAGAAGTCCTCCTGTAAGACATGCCTCTATTAACTTCCTATCAACTCCTTTGTGATAGTTGAAAATTTTGATTTTTTCAAAGTCAGGAATTCACGTGGGGGCTTCCTTGAGAAAAAGATATGTTGTTTTTGCTTTTTGGGATAAAGACCAAGTGGTGAGATCTTCTCAAAAGCTGGGCTTCTATCCAAAACTGCGTGTATCAGTTCTTTAATTGCAAATAATATTATTTTATTCTTTTCAGATCATGGCTACATTTGTAATTTGTTCAAAAGGGTCTGGGCTTTTCAAGTCTCTTGTTTTTTTCTTCTGATTCTTGTAGATGAAAGTCCAAATGTTCGGTTCATGGGCATCTCGACAAAAATGGCCCGGCGTGCAGAATTTTGGCCCAAACATATACATTTTAATAATCAGTAATAGAAAATAGATTACAGTTCCTAATTAAATTATATGACATTGAAGAATCCAATGTTTGAAATTATGCTATCATGGAACAACCCTTTTCCCGTTAAAGACCGACTTATAATTGGGCTTAAATGAAATAGACCACACATAGAGAGGAAGAACAAGAGACCAGAAAGCATCCTTAATCATCTCAAGTTTTGTGAAAACACTCTATTTATTGAAATTTAGATTATATGCGTAGTTTATAAGAGCATCTCCAAGGGAGATGTCAAATACCAAACATCAAATTTAAATTTGATGGCTGATGTGGCAATTTGACATCTCACACAACTTTACACTCCACCCGATAAGTCAAATTAAATTATTATTTTATTACATTTTAGTGTTGATTCATTTTTAGTTAAAAAGAAAAGAAAAGAAAAAATAATAAAATATTCATTTGACATCTTGTTTTTGGGATGTCAAAAATGACATCTCAACCTCCAGCCTTCATTTCACATCAGCTTTGACACATTGGTTGGAGTGATATGAGATGTTATTTATAACTGTTAAATGTCTATGTGACACGTTTGACACATCAGTTGGAGATGCTCAATATTGGTCAAAATAGAGTTTTGAGACTTAACTCTTGTTTTCTAATGACATCAACCTCAAAATTCCAAGGTTCAATCATAGTCTCCATGAAGACTTTGTGACTGTTATAGTAGGTCACCACTAAAAAAACGATCTAAATTTTCTGGAGTCACATTAACGCAATACAATGTACCTCATATGACAAGGAATGACAAAACAAATGTGGGGTTAGGTTGCTGGAAAAAATGAGAATATTATTAAATGGATGTGAAAGTGGGTCTAGCCCAATGATTTAGATTGTGAAATAGGCAACAAAATCTTGGACAAATTGATCAAATTTTTTTTTAATTGGACATAGAGATAGAGAACTAGGTTGTATAACAGTAAACTTGCTCGCATCATTCCCTAAATTATTGTAAGAGTTTCTCTCCAACTTGTAATAAAGATATTTCGACCAAAAAAAAACACTTGCGATTGAGATGAAGCTTTTTGAAGATGAGAGCTTCCAATAAACTTTACAAGATAAACGTACGTTCTCTCCAACCAAACTCGTATACCATATTGGTATTTTAGTAGTTTAGGGGTCATTTCATTATATGATTAATTAGGTGGACAGTCGAATGAAAATGACTCGAATTGTTTTTGTTTTTTTTAGAACTTGAGGATAAAAAGGTACCAACCAATTAATTTATGTACTATACAAGATCGTATCCAAAACTTTGATCAATAGATTGAAGCCAATTATGCTCATTATGATTTCGAAGTTTCAAAGTGCTTTTGTTCCCTCAGAGTCTATGTTGCACCGATGCAGATATGGATACGGCGATATGATATGATACGATACGCCGATACGGAAAATCTCCAAAAAGTAGGATACGGGTATGGCACCGATACGGTGATTAAAATAATATATTTAAAAATATATATAAATTAAAAAATTAAAAATTGATATTTCACCCATATATCATTAGGCTGTACAGCTTCATTCAAAATTGATATTTCTTTTCTGATTCTATATATTTTTTCTGGCTGTACAACTTTTTTTCACCCAAACATATCATTACCCAAAACCCATTAATATTATTTTAATGGATGGCAGAGCATTTCCTAATTCCTACCCTCAGTCAACGGCCAAGATTGGACCTGTCCTCTTGTGTAGACGAGAAGCCCAAAGCCCAGCTCTCCTTATCCGATAAAACCAAAGAGCCCCAAACGGTCTCACAGGTTATCACAAAGTCTCTCTCTCTCTCTCTCTCTCTCTCTCTCTCTCTCTCTCTCTCTCTCTGTGTCACTTTCTGTCTATCTCTCTGAGCCATAGCCAGAACCACAAAGCAAAAACCATGACTTCGTCTACATCTGTGACTCTCCCATTCTCTTCCTTCTTCCTTCTTCTTCTTCTTCTTCTTCTTCTGTTTGGTTGGCGTCTGAATGATACCCAAGACCTAGCCTCTCTCGACATAGTCAGTCTTTGAAATTCAATGTTTTAATTTTACATTTTAACTCCAAATATTAATTAACTTTCAAAATCACCCCTAAATTTACCCAATATTTTCGTTTTTACCCCTGACATATCGGTGTCGTATCGCGACCGTATCCAGATCGTATCAACCACGTATCGGAGCCATACCGGAAAGTCAACATGTCATAAAAGTCTACAATACTTCACGTGGCGTATCGGATACGTATCAGTGTTGTATCGTCGCCGTATCCGATATGCGCATTCCCCAAAAAACCAACGTATCGGTGCAACAAGGCTCACAGTTGATCACAGACAATATTATCACAGTTTTTCAAAATGTCTATGCTGTAAAATGTAGGGGAGGAAGCGGTTCGAAAAAGATGATTCTGAAGTTGGAGGTGTTCAAAGTTTACGATAGGGTGGAGTGGTCTTTTTTAACAGTAATGCTACGGAGGTTGGGATTTAATGAAAGATGGGTAGACTTTATCATGGTCTGCATTTCTACTCTTACTTGATCTATACAACTTACAAGTGGATAACCAAGTTAAGGTTCCCTGTGCTCTGCCTCTCTTCCAGGTTTGAGTGTCGGTGGCAATTTCCCACTAATAATGGGCATTTCCGTGAGCTCTGTCTCAGTCCAGGGCTTTATGCCCTTTCTTTTATGCTGTTTCTATTTTCTCCTTCCTCTCTAACCCATTTTAGCTCAGGATTTCACGTAAATCTCCAACCCTTATATTGGTTTTTCATCCTCTTTCACCCTCATGGTCCTCATCCCCCAAATCCCTACTACTATAGCCCACATCACTTGCTCTACTCCTCTCCTTCCTCCCTCATTCCAACAACATCAACACAAGTTTGCAGCTATTCATCTTCAACACGCGTCTTCGCGTCTTAATCTTAATCAAAATTTTGGTAGAGTTTCGACTCGGGTTCTTGTTAGTTTTGCTGGCTATGGGCTGGCTTAGGCCTTCGATTTCGTCTGTTGTGTGGCTGTTGCTCCCTTGGATGTAAGTTTGGGCTCGATGGGTGCGAAGTGCATCGCAGTGGAGTGCATTTATTATAAATTTCTGGTTTTATGTTCTACCAATTTTAAGGCCTTGTTCCAGTGGATTTGAGGTTATTGTTTGTAGTGTTGGTTTGGAAGTTTGTTGTTTTGTTTTGGCCCTGCTGCTTCTCCTGTTGCAGAGATGCCATGGCGGTTGCATTTTCTTATTTTGTTTTAGTTGCTAGGGTTTAGTTTTGTTTTGGGCCTTTTGGATCTTTGCTAGATTAGGCTTTATCTGTAACTCTTTCTTATGAATGAAAGTCCAGTTTGACAACAAAAAAAAAGTTTAAGTGATGTTGGCAGCTATGGGCATGATTGTACCCATGCGTTGGGCTAAGGCAGGGTGATCCCCTTTCGACCCTTTTGAAAGCTGGTTCAAGAAACCCCTAAACCCATCCCCGCCCATCAACCTCCTCTCACTTACACTCATTTTTCCATATAACCACCAAAATGAGAGATGGGTTGACTTGGTTCGACGCAATTTGATTGGTTGTGCAATTTTTTTCATCAACAATGTTTTTCAAAATGTTGTACCTTTCAATGATCATGAATCTCTGATGCATGTCAACATTATTGCCTGAAATGAATTATGGAATCATTGCCTTCTCCGATTTTGGACCAGTTGAGGCATGAAGGAGAGTTGCAGAACGAAAGCTCTCAAAGAGACATTAGGGCCTTTTCTTTTGCAAAATTGCCTGATTTTTGCTTGAACTCACAAGTAGAACAAGGTGAAGAAGACTAAGGGAGCCTTTCGGTTTCAAAAGGAAGTCGAGTTAATTCCAGGCTTAGCGAGTATCATTAGCCTAGCAGTTGTTTATGAATCGTGAGAGGCAACGTGGCAAGTTGAGGGGCATGAGGAAAGGCAACGTGAGATTTTAGTTCAAAATTTTAACAAGCTTAAGCAAGCTAGTTAAAACTGGGGGCACATTTTTTGGGCAAAATTGACTTCTGCCAATTCAATGGCTAGGAAAATCAATTACGCCCATAATCTTTCTAGCCCAAGGAAGGTTGCAGATTGAATAAAATACCCAATGGAATGACCAAAAGGTGGCCACGTGTGCAAGGACAGAATCATCGAAAAGCTTTCCCCCTAGTTCTCACATGGGCTAGCTTGCAAATTCGAATTGGGTGAGAGAATTAAATGCTACTCAAACTACTACTTTAACAAAATCAAATCTCGTTTAAATCGCTGGATTTTAGCTCAACTTCATCATTTTGAAGCAAATCCATGGCTGCTTAATTTCAGTAGTGATTTAAGCAAATTCAACTGTGATTATTTAAGAAGTTTCATTGTACTCCAATCAATCCGATTTAAAGCTATTTCAATCCGATCAGATTCTTTCTCTCTTTCTTTAACTTGCATTGTCCATTTAGACCCAATTCTCTCTTCATTAATAAAATTTTGTTTTGGTTCAATTACGATTTCAAAATTTCGTTCTTTGAGTTCTTACCTCATGCAAGAGGAATATTGAAGTCCTTAATCAATTTAGAAATAGAAAAAAATCAATCCAGTCCAGTTCCCCATTTGGAGCACAATTGCTTGGGAAGGAGTTAAGATTCTATGTTAACCCTGGCTAGGGCCGTGAACCTGCACACCCCTAAACTACAACAAGCTTTGAAGCCCCCACCTTAAGGTGCGAAGGACTTTCATTTCATTTCTATCCGATTTACATATTTTATATTGAGCTGAACAGTACCAATAGCAGCACGCCTCCAAATACACCATAAAAAACATATTTGAGCCCACTAAAGCGCTTTGAATATTTACAATCTATTTAATCCAATGCTAAAATACAAAGCTACGTTTTAGGTTGAACAAAACCATATTAGGTAACGTTAATAAGTGTACAGAGTGTTGTGAGTTACTTTCAGTGCTTCTTCTCGGATGCAAGCAAGGTTTATTTTCATCTCCTTGCAAAGTTTACCCTCAACAAGTCAGATGGGCAACCACAACTTTGGCTTTACATCAACCAAGTACGAAAGAGTTGTACACATTTGCTGCTCTGTCAAACAGTCGTCACATGCTATTTCTCTATTTAGCTGCATCCACAATTATTCATTCTGACCCTGTAAGCTTTTAAAATATAAAATAAATAGTTTGTCAAAAAGATTATATTTTAAAAACTTCTCAAGTGTCCATATTTAATCGGATAGTTTAACAATATGTATTTGATTCAAATACACACTATCAATATTTTCACAGATAGTTTTGTTTTTGTCAAATTTTCACGAATAGTTTTTTGGGGTAAAATTTTCATTTATATACAATTATTTTAAATCTTAACTAGTCCATAAAATGAAGATGTGCCGGTGAAAGTTATAGTAAATACAAAGATAAAGTTCAAAATACCATGAAAGAGTTTTAGGTTCCACAATCGAGAGCAAAATCAAATGACAATGGACTTAATAGCCCAACACCTTCTAAGTCCTCGAAAAGTATATTAACCAAGACATTTATTTATATATATTAACTGTTAATACATGAGTACTAATTGGGTATATATATATATATTGTTCAAAATGATTTTTGTTATTGTACAATGAAATTTTTATTTATGTAGGTGATTAGAACTTAGATAAAGGCGACAAGCGCACTACCCTAGCCAATTGGCTTACTTACATCTGCTACTGTATAATGGATTTTTGAGACTTGTTTATGAGAGAAAATTAGGGGTATAAATTATGATTTAATAACTATATTCTTGGGAAAAAGTAAGATTTAACGTACACTTTCAATTGACAACAAATGCTTTCTCAACGACATGACGTTTTCTAGTTCGCATGGCCATTTTCCCAAGAAAACGACATCTGGCCACAACGGCAATCGGCCGTCGCGATACCACCTTTGACATCTTTCTCCACAGAAAAAGAAGCAGCACGGTCCCATAGTTTGCTTCACCATGGAGTTCAGACCTCGCAATTACAGTGCCGAAAAGCAAGCCCACGCGCTTCCGCGAGTAAGAGCGGACGATCACCCTCTCTCCGCTCCATCGTCTCTACCTCACCTCCAGGTTACAATCACATCGATCATTTATTCAAATTTTCGTTATTTTGTTACCTCTGCCATTAAGCATCTGTTTGGTTGCATAGAAAGCGTAGGAAATTCAAATTCGTGATCGGATATAGTAAAACAATTTTACTTGCTTGAGCAATTTGGTTTGTTAGACAGACGTGAGCTTGAGGTTGAGCTATCATCTACGTGAGCACAATTTGTTTTTGTTAATCATAGATGGATGCAATGTCTCATTTTTATTCTCCAAGTTTGAAAATTCCATGTCAAAATATAGTAAATATGATTACTTCTTTGGTCTTGTGCTTTGATTATGATATCTTTGAAAGTCTTGGATTGTTTAGAAATTGCAGTATTTTGATATAGGTTGAGGTCGCGGACCATGGGGATACGGAGTTTTTTGACCCGCTAAGAAGGTCCGATAACAATGCCGAAGCTGCTAGAGAGGATTTAGTAGACATTGAAACCAGTTCTGGGGCAGGGCTCTCCAGTGAAGCTTCTATTCAAAATCCATCTAAAGAATGGGCCTCTTTTAAGAGATCCCTGGTGCAGAGGTTTCCAGTCTCCAAAACAGTTTCAACTTCTTCAGTAAGCATTTCATGCTTCTTGATTTTTTTGAGTTCCACATTCTGTGCTATATTCAAATTTTGTGCAATCTGCTGTGGCTTGATGGTATCTTGAGTAATTTTCAAGCTAGTATATCTGGGTTGCCTTTGTGTCTGACACCATTTTCAATTCTGTATATTTCGTAATGAATTAGAGTTTGGTTCCTGGATGAATGCCACTTCAATTGTTGCTAGCTAGTTTTCAAAACAAAAGCAGGAAATATCTTAGCAGGCGAGGCTTATGTTTCTGACATCGGTTTCAGATTCTATATGTTTTTCATATAGAAATAGAGTTTTATTTTTGGGTTTCCTGGATTAATGTTACTGCACTTGTTGCTGGCTAGTTTTCAAAAGTATGAAGTATGCTATGGGAATTCAAAATTTTCTTATCATATATCTCTTTTATAAGCTTCCCCATTCATTAGCTTTTTGATAAATCTTTATATTTTTCCCTAATTGGTATTATCATATTTTAAAGTGGCCCAGCTATTCCCTCTCCTTATGTCCCTTATTGAAAGCTGTAACCTACCTTGTAACCCTTTTTTTCCTTTTCTTAATAATTACAGATGTCCGATGTGATGGTGAAAGGCAGGAAAAGTATGTCAGCCTCCTTTCCTTTGTCTAACTACAAAGTATCATTTTCACCAGCTTTTTGTTGCCAATACTCAATGTGTTAAAGCAGCTATAACAATCACTTGGTTTTCTTTGTTAATGATGTGAATTTACAGCATATGAGAAATCTTCAACAAGTATGCATTTGGAGGAACTGGACGATCCGGAAAAATTTGCAGAAGAGGGTGGCAAGGTCATCACAGGGCAGGAATATGTTTCCCAGTTGCATGAACTTAAAGCTGAATTAACTCGTGCATGGCATGCTGATGATCGTGTGACATCCTTGAAAATATCAATAAAAGTAATTTTATTATTTTTTGTTGATAATTTGGTTTGCACAATGTATCTTACCTCGAGAGAGTTTGTGGTATGAAAAAAGATTACATACGTTTACTATTTCATTATATGTTGAAAACTTCGTTGCATCTTCATCCTTTACTATGAAATCGTTTATGAAGTTACTTAGTGATATATGTGCTTATACTCGAGCTTTAATATTTCCATTTATTTGGCATAAAACACTAGATTTTAGCTGTAGCCTCTTATGCAAAAGGTCATTTTTTTATGAGTTCTGAAAGGTCAACAGGTTAGATTACCAATTCATGTTAAGAATCCATCTTGTCTGAGAATTAGGCCATTCTGAAGTTAATTTAGCTATACAAGTTTATAACTCAAGCTTAAAGTTTTTCCTTCATTGCACTACATAACCAGTTTTCTCATTTCCACTTTTATGTAAATTTAGTTTGTCTTTAAAAAAAAAGTTTGATAGGTCCGTGGATCATATTACTAATTCATGTTCCTCCATCTTGTGAGAGAAATAGGTTTAGGCGTATATGCTGCTGCTTCTTTGTGTAAATGTTATTACCTTTTATCATTTCAAAAGCAATTTTCTTTTGACAGGTTGCTAGGCTTTTGATGGATACATCTGTTTTACAATGCTATCCTACACTCTTTGCTCTTGCTACGGATATTTTGGATATGCTTGGGGATATGGTATGGGAACGCATCAAATTGAAAGCTGAATTTGATGAAGATGAAACCAAATTCTGCTTCTTACCAGGTATTGCTGTTAAATTTCTTCCTCTGTGTCAGTTGTTTTATTTTCCTTAGAAGCAATACTTTTGAAGTCTTTTTGTTTGAATCTATTTCTAGAATATGTCTAAGTACCACATATTTATATGTTGGTTTGTATGGAATAAATCTTTATGCATGTTGACATGGTTGAAAGCGAAACTAAACTTGCCTGATCATTTTGCAAAAACCAGACAAAGTGGACTGTCATATACATAACTTTAATACAGGACGCGATGTATCATAGATGCCTTGGAGAACTAGCAAACTTATCTGCCAGTCTTCCTTATCTCCACTATTGGTTATCATTTTTGTTTGCTCTCCTAACATTAATTAACTTCAATTGGTTTGCAGATTGTTGGTGTCGTTTTACTGTATCAGTTTTATGATTTTTTTTCCTGAAGTTTTGATTGGTTTACGGCAGAGAACTTTTCAGCAAGTGATGTTTGCTCTGATGCCAAAGAAACTTGCAAGAACTGGTTCTGCAAAATTGGTGCTGTCCGAGAGCTTCTTCCACGCATGTAAGTTCTTGTTCATTATTTTATGAATTTTTGTTCATTCTCTCTATCTCTCTCTCTCTCTCTCTCTTTAAAATGCTGTAGCAATGCATGCAGCCTTACTTTTGTTCTGTTCTAATGATGTTGTAATCTTTGGTAGTTTTCTTTAATAAATAAATGACCATGCATTAAAGAAACAGAAAAGGGTACAGGAACAAGGATGAGACTTTCTTCTGGAACAAAATGAGAAGGAAAAGATTTCATTAATATTTTGAGCTTAAAGCCTTAGATATTCTATAAAAATAAATAAATAAAACAAGAACCAAAACTGGGATAGGGTGCTATAAGATCTCGGTACTTGATTGTTACTGCCTGATTGACTTCCAATGTTTTGATCAACTTTCTTTTTATGCTCTTTTACTTGTAGTTTCTACGTGCAAGAATTTCCTTCTTGCTTCTTCCTTCTGTCACTTCCCCTTTTTCTAAATATGGAATTATCCAGGTATTAATTTGATATGAATTTCAGTTATTTGGAGCTGGCATTATTGCCTTGCTGGCGTTTCTTGGTTGACAAACCTCTTGACAGTCTCCGGCGCTTGGTAATGATGACGAGAGGGTTAGCAGATCCATTGGCATCTGCCTATTGCCGTCTGTATATGTCCCATTGTATGAGGAAGTTGCCTTCACTTGATACAGGTATATATTTTCTGTACTACATTTATAGTCACAAAACAGCTGATAAATTTACTGGTGACTGGTGGTGGATTGATTTGGTTCAATTTGAAGAAAAAAAGAAAAGAGAAACAGAGAAGACAAGAATAATGCAAATAGGATTAGTGAGGAAGGACACGATTGTTCATGACGTGCTTTCCCAGTAGCACTTTGTGGCAGAAGGGCATAGATAACTGACCCAATCAGATGGGTTTAGTGACCTGTTGAAATAAAAAATATGTATGGCAGAACACTACTCATCTCACCAAGACACGTGGCCTGTTATATGCTTATTCTCATCCATTCCAATTTCCAATCATCACTTTAATGCAATTGTAGGTAGGAGTTGTCTTGAAACAAAAATCCAATGTTTAGTAAGGTGCAGAGAAAATGGTGGACTGTAAATTGAATCAAAATTTCAGTTTGATTAACTTCCTTTTTGAACTAAAATAGATTGATGTAAGGGGTGTTTTTCAATTCATTTATCCTTGTTGCAAGGGGCTTGCAACTCTAGTGGTTAAGAGCGTTTACCCCTTGCACCTGAGGTCCCAAGTTGAAAACCCCCTTTCCCTGTCATTGATGAAAAAATTATTTTTCATCATAGTTTTGTCAGAGAACAACCTTTAGAAGAGTCAAAACTGATAATGGTTGAATGCATAAATAGCCGCTAGAAAGTTTTTTTTTTTTTTTTTTTTTTTTTTTCTCTTATTTATAGTTTTTCTTAAACGTTTTTTGTTTGTTTTTTGTTAATTTCAAAAATTATCAGTTTATTTTTGGTGCTTGCCACTTCTATAGGTGATAAGGTTTACTGACCAGAAAGTTTCTAGTATAGGTGATGTGCTCCTGCTTAAACCAAAATTATGCTAAAACATGTATAACTTGGTCTCAAATTTATAAAATCATTCATGTATTCTAGCCTAGCGTGGACCTCAGATTGATAGAGTTCTTGAATAATATATTTGAACCTTCTGTTGGTAAACAACATCCTCTTATTATTTACTCTTACTATTTACTTCTAACAGTATTAATAATAAATACTTTACAGTCTCATGTTTGGCCATTATTTTACAGGATGCCTGCTCACTTGTGCGAATGACTTCAAAATTGTGTTGATGCGGGTCATATCAGCAGAGGAAACCAGTCATGGAAATTTGAGTGACAACAAAAGATTGCTTGTCGGTCTGATGGAACCCACCATTGAGTTTATCATGAAATGCATATTTAAGAACATGTCTGAGGTATGTACTGCATGTAGTAATAATACTTGTCTTCGGCACTCGATATTAAATGGCTATATTCAAAATTCCATTGCCCTGGATATATCTTGTTTTGAAAACTTATGTATAAGCATTAATATGCTGGTATGAACCCTTTGAAGTAATTATAAAGCAGAACATAATATTATACCATTTGAACTATGTCGGATTTGTTGGGAGTCTCATATTCATTGTGCTCACTCCAAAGCCCTCTTTCATCTCTTAAAAGTTTTAGAGAATGTTTTTGAATATATCCAAACATGATGCTGGTGTGAGATGAATTAGTTGGTAGTTGAATCTATCAAATCATGAATAGTTTTTGTGACATGAAGTAGTAGTCTTTACTGTGTAATGATGTAGTCATAATTTTAATCTGTTGAAAGAGACAAGTAGGTGATGTGCTCGTTGAGCTTGGACTTGGGGACAACCAAGTGGAGTTGTTTGGAAGGTTCCCATATGTCTCAATTGTTCTTCATCATCTACTCAAGCAACTTCCATCGGAAGTAGTTAGCTCAAGGGCTGTGGAGATCCTTCGTCTCATTGAGTTAAGTAATGATGATTCCTTTGATCAGGTATTGTTCATAAGAAGGTGGTCAAGTTATAACTTTGGAACACGTAAAGCACTGCATTATTGATGTGTCGCCCTTCCTGGGTTAATCTGGATGTTAGGTCCAAGTTTATCAATGAAAAACCGTCTTCAATGTGCAGTTCTTGAATCATCTGTTGCTTTTGTTTTTTTTTTTTTTTTTTTTTTTTTTTTTTTTTGTTGGTGGTTGGGAAAATTACAGTGTTACTTACAGGATTTAGGTTGGTTGTGAAAGATCTCAAATTGACACTGCCAATGCTGTGGTGGACAAAGCCATCCAGGTATTTAGAGGGATCTGTTTCCAGTTGCTTAGTTTTTATTTTCATTGGTTATTTTACCTTTTCTTTTTTAATATTTCATAGTGCTTCATTTCTAAGGAATCCGATTAAGCATTTTTATTTTAAACCTAATTTATGCATTTTATTTTATGATCAATCAGGTTATTGTTCAATATGACGGCCTTGATGAGTACTTGAAGGTTGCGGATGCTTATGTGGATATTATCCTTCAAAATCATATGGTGCGTCTTAGTAGGTTTTCATATTTGTTAGACAAATCGAAAGTTCCAGTTGGTTGTAACACTGTTCTGGTTGACTGGTTCTTTGTTTACTTTAAATTAATCTATTTGTTGTTGTTGTTTGGGGGGGGGGGGGGGGGGGGGTATGAAACAGAGAAATATGATATTACTTGAAAGAGATCAAGCAGTCCACCGAAACAAAAACAAAAAAACTAACAGAAAACCCCAATAAAACCAATTAGCAACTCATTGAACTCTTATAAATAACACTCTTTCAACCTTAGTATTTCTAAAGCTGCCTCCATAAGCAGTTGTCCTTATTGTTTAAACTTTGAGGAAGTAAGTTACAATAAATATTAGGCTTAAAACCCATTAAGACCAGTCCCTATGTCTATGTGTAGGCGTGCTTGACATGTGAGTTTTCCTTGTTAGAGAATGAATATACAAGTGGAGACATTAAGATTTGAACCAAGGTTTTGTGGACATTCGAGCTCCAATACCATGCTGGAGAATCGCCGTAAAAGCTTAAATTGTAAGGAATTGGACCAACAAGTGTACTAAACTTAAATTGTACTAAAGTGCAGCACTTTAGGTCTTGCGCAGGTAAGTAAAATGGAAACTAACACTTTGTTAAATCATATTGTCTAAGAACAACTCCAATTTCTTGCACAATTTAAATCATAATGCCAAATGTAATTTGTAACATGAATAGTGACTTTCTCCTAGTTTTGATGTAAGTTACACCAGAAAAAAGTGGAGTGCTCGTACAGTCTATGAAGGGTAAAATAAAAGATTATGCAGTTTTGAGTTTCCTTCTCATCTGTATATATCAAGGGTAATTGATTAGAGAAATTCGGCTTGCTACTTATAGACTTAAACACTATTGACAATTCCCCCCACATTTAGTTAAGATTAATGGGCAATATGACGACGTTGAGCTGAGTTAATTGGAATGTCTTCACTCTCGGGGTTTTTTGGGACTTCTCTTCGATGTTCTTGTTATAAGAGTTTTATTCTAACTGTAATATTTGTTTTTTGTTAACTTCGCATTGATGAATGCAAACGTGTGTATACCACATTAGTATCTACATGCTGTCTCAGTTTTCTTCCTCTGAATCTAATTATATGCCAGGATGACCATCTGAACTCCATTTTAGAAGGTATTTCAAAACGAGCATGCAGTGAAGAGATCGCTGATGATGAAATGGCAACCTTGCAGTCCATCTTGGTGAAGCTTCTTTCTTATTACAAGGATTTAGAAGACATATTTTCCATGGTATGCTTTTCCTTGTACTTATGGTGTAGCTGGTTTCCTGGTTTTATTCTCTCTCTCTTCTCTCCCTCCTATCAGGCAGTGTTAATACCATGATGGCAAGGAATTTTAAAGTAATGATCACCTTGCTTGTAGTTATATAATTGGTGTGTAATTTTGAACCATAAGATCTTGTTGAACTACCCATGGGTTGTGCTTTTTATTTTGTAGAATCATTTTCTCAAGATCTTGGATCTAATGTATGGAAGTTCACGAAGCATCGTCAATATGCATATCCTTGATATAGGGATAAGGTGCCTTTTTAGTTACTTTATATTCATTTTCTACTTTATCTACTTAATGCCTCACCTCACTGTTATTGTGCCTTCTGAAAGACAAACATTTTCTGAACTTCAAAACTTTTTGAAACTACTCAAATTAGATTTTTCTTTTTCTTGTTACTCATGTGTATATGAATGATGTGCCCTTCAATTTCCTGGGAGCAGTTTAACGCTTGCTTATTCATTTGGCAGGAATGGTTGTATACGTGATCCGCGAACCATACAGTTTCTTCTTGAAATTTCTCAGGCTCTACATCAGGACGAAAATTTTGGGAATCTAAAAGATGATACTAACCAACCAGCACGTTTGATTTCTCAGTTTGTATCTCTGGTGATTAAATTTGAACTACATAATAGAATGTTGTGACTCTTTTGTGGTAGCAATTCGTATGATTGTCTGGTATTGATTGTTGCTCTTCATTGATAGGTTGATTATGGGGCAGAGATGGAGAGTCAGTTGGCATTCTTAGTTGAATGCCGTGGATCTTTTGGTGGCATTCGTGGGCTTAAGGTTTTTTTGATTTCCTGATTAAGTTTTGTTGTTAACTTCGACAAGTCCAATATCTGTTTTTAACGATACTAGTGATTTGATTCTATGTAACTGCATTGAACTGTCTGATGATAAGTTTGGGTTGAAAGACGCAATGATGAGAAGTACTTGTTTTAATACCAACCCGGATAATTTATCGGAAGACAATTTTCCATAATATCAAATATATGTACTTTCATTTATATATATTCCTTTCTACTGCTAATTCAACACTTAATTTACTTTCAGGAAACTCTTATTCACTCCAGTAATTGTTTAGCGATTAAGGCTTTGAAAGATGGGAATAGGCATCTTGGTTTCGTGAAATCCTGCATAGCATTTTCTGAAGTCACATTACCTTCTATTTCACCCCAGATTAGACAGTTAAATCTTTATCTTGAGACTGCAGAGGTAATGTTTTCTTCTGGTGTGATCATGTTGTGTATCAACTTAACCATATATTTTTCCTCATTCCTGCATTAATAGTTCAGGTAGCTCTACTGGGTGGCTTAATTTCCCATTCGGATGGACTGATTGATTCAGCAATCAACTCTTTGCAAATTTTAGATGTACTGGATGGTTAGTTAACCCTTCCTTTAAAGTGAAATTTTCATTTGACAATAGTATTTTATTCAGAACCACCGTTCTAGAACCCTCTTTACCCCCTCTTCAATAAAGTTTTAAGGAGTTGCTGCGACTTACCTCCTCCATCAACCAAGCATGCATTCAGACATGATTTGATGCCTAATAAATGGTCTTCAGTGATATGCCACAGTATTGGGCAGACAAAAAAAAATTCTGTAGATGTATTGAGAGAACTCTCTTTGTCAATTGCAAAACAAATTGTCCAATATACTCTTGTCCAAAACTGAAGTACAGTATGGTAACAGGGCATTGTGCCATTCTGGTTCCTACATATCAAACCTACTCTCTTCCTACTCTTAACTCCATCACATTGCATAACTATGTGTGCATGATCACCCTATTGTACATGAATGTGGTGTGACATAGATGCATGATGCCCCTTGATGCTATTGATCACATTAACTTTCACGATCAATGGCCCCCATGCTCGGTGGTGTTCCATGCTAGAAAATCTGTCTCTGTGTGTGTGTGTGTGTGTGTATGCTGTTGCTTATTTTCATTTTATGTATATAAGCTTACTCTCTCTATATATATAAGGTAACTTCACATTCCATTGGGGTCATAGCATTTGAATTTAAAAAGAAAAAGAAAATTCTGGTTTTCTTGTGCAGGCTCCAGAACACCAATTGATGCTGATGGAGTACTCTCCTCAATTCAAAAATTATTTAGTCTCTTGGTTATGGTTCCAGGTTTTTACGATCTTCTTTTTTCCTTCATTTCCATTTTGCTTGTAGTTCTGTAATATCTCAATAATGTGTAGATTAGATTGCATCTGTATTTTTTCTTCCTTCTTGGTAGTCTTTTGAGGAATGCCTGCAAATTTTTTTTGGGTAGTCTTTTGAGGAATTCCTGCAAGTTAAAAATTGTCATGCTTCTTATAAATGATTTATACAATGACCAGAAAACTTGGAAAAAATAAGGGAAATTTGCACAAATACCACCTGGACTATTAGGGGTGTGTGCATCTACCACCCAATACTTTTCTTTTGGCAGTTGGCCTCCTAAACTTCATTGTTAGTGTTAATGTGCCACCTCCCTCAACTTCCATCCAGTTTTCCATTAAAATACTCTAAAGACACCCCATAATGCTCTCTAGTCACCCATTCCCCACAATTTCATTATAAATATCCAAATTTGTCCCTCGAATAAATTAGTGAAAAAAAAACACTAAAATAAAAAGAAAAACATCTCAGCCCACTCAAACCCTTCCCCTCCCAGGCAGCCCCTCCACCGACCACCCCCCACCCCCCTCCCCTCCCCTTTCCCATTCTGGCCCCTCCCAAAAACCCACCTTCATGCAGGACCCCTCTCTCTTCAAGTTTCTAATTTTTCTCTGATCTGTTTTTTAATGAAACTCCTTTCTTTTTGTCCTTGGATTCTCAACTTCTATCAAATGCAAGTACAGATAAATCATATATCAAGACCTTGTGGCATGTAGAACAAGTCAAATACAACACAAGTAGTTAAAAAATTTCATGCTTCATGTGTCAACATTAAAGAAAGGAATTAATCACAAAAGAGGCAATGGTGCTGTGTGTAGGATAAGGTTGTGTAGTGTGAGTGTAGAGAGACTGGCACCCATTGTTGGGGTTAGTGCTTTGCTTTTGGCTCTGTGTGTGTATGTGTGTGTGTGTGTGTGTGAGAGAGAGAGAGAGATGGGGCTGGTAATTTTCTTTTGAATTTTTTCTTATCTTTTTTCAGTCCAACAGAAAAAATTTGTCTTTTAATATTGAGGCAATTAACGAAATTGCCCTCGTAGAATGCCCATGTGCACATTACATGACTTGATTTAACAGAAAATTGGATGGAGGTGGTACATTAACACTAAAAGTCAAGTGTGGGTGGCAAATTGTCAAAAACAATTATTGGGTGGTAAATGCATGCACCCCCAATAGTCCAAGTGGTATTTATGCAACTTTCCTGAAAAACAGTAATGGAAGTCACACTATATGCCAAAGTCATCTAACTTTGGATTATGTAAAAAAGGGTGACAGTACTTTATTTTTTAAAAGTTGATTCTTCTATTAAGGAGTTCAAACATTTTCATAGAAGGAATGCTAGAGAGACCACATAATTGTACCACATTGTGTACCACCTCTCTAATAGAGGTAGGGCTCACCGATACAAGTAGGTCCCACCTCTATTAGAGAGGCGGTAAACAATGTAGTACAATAATATGGTCAACCTAGCATTTGCCTTAATATTTGACAAATTATAAAACATCGGTATCATAAATTAATTAGCATTGTCCATTCACTTTTTGAGTTTCTGAGTTATCACCTGCCCAATCAAATCATATTAAGTAACATTTTTATATCTTTTATTTTGTATCTTTTCCAAATGAAGGTAATCTTGAGCATGGAGTTACGTACTTACCAAAGAACTTGGTGTTGCTGATCAACTCACAGTCATGGTGAGCCTTAATGTTGAGAACCTTGCATCAATTTAATTTGTACATACTTATTGTTTTGATGTTGTAAGATATTGTTATAGGATGACTCCAAGAATGAGGGTGAAATTTTTTTGTGCAATTGTTTCGCTCTTAGCGGCACTATCTCAACAAAATCTTCCTTATCATACAGATAATGGAAAGGTACACAATTCAGTTCTTTGTGGAAATTCCTAGATCTCAAAAGTTTGCATTTGTCAAAGTTCTAAAAGTTAAAACAAACAATATTCTTAAATGCTAGGAATGCCTAGAAAATGGGGGAAAACTGTAACATCCCACATTGACCAACGGAGAGGGGGTGATGTGCCTTATATGTACATGCCCACCTCCATCTAGCACGAGGCCTTTTGGGAGCTCACTGGCTTCGGAGTCATGGGAACTCATTGGTCGATGTGGGATGTTACAAAAACGGTACCTCTGTGTGCACTGTCTTGTGCTTTTGCTATAGGTCTTGTATTTCATGTGAAGTTTTGTTATCTTGTGGCTGCTAATATATTCTGTTTTTTTTTCTTCAGCTTCTAGGAAATGACGTATTGTTCTTTGGTGATTCATCATATCTGCATGAGCTTGCCTCATTGTGCCAGTTTGTTCTTCAAAACCTGGTTGATGCTATTCAACAAGAACCTTCCATGGTAACAATGACTTTCAATATGGGATTTCCTTTTTGCCCTTCTATTTTTGTGGTGCTGATCTGTGGCAGTGATTGATTAAAACTTAGACTGCTCGTGGGAGCATGGCGCTTGAAGCTTGCAACTACATTGCGTCATCTTTGATTGTAAGTTCCAATGAAATTGCTGAACTGACTTTTGGTAACCTTTTTCATTTTATTTCTTTGTTAGAGAGAGTGAAAATATATAATGGAAAGGAGGGATGAAGATGGGTGAAGGGAGGGTGGTTGGAGGGATGAGGAAGAAATGAGGAGAATGACTCAAACAAAAACTTAAAGAAAGTGACTTTTTTAATTTTTATTTTTATTTTTGTTTTCATGTACATTTCTCACACCGCCGACCTCTCTCTTACCACCCTAACTCCACCCTTTCCTCTCTCCCATATATTTCCCCATTATCTCAAACAAAAAAAAAAAAAAAAAAAAAACCAAAAACCAAAAAAAAAAATGTTAATAAAAGAGGTGACCCGAATAACACAAATAATTCAGTTCACCAGTGGAAGATGTACATTAAATGCCCTACAAGTGTATGTATGCATGTGAAGTGGGATTCATGAGTGGCTGGACGTTGATCTTGTGATGCTTTCAACTTTGATTTTCTTCCTTGTCACACCTCTGAGGACTGCCACAAATGGAACTTTAAATCCAGAAAAAGGTTCTAATATGATGGCTTGATCACATAAATCTTGTATTTTGTACCGTATGTTTGTCATAGCTGCCTAGAGGTGTGATAGTTTTTACGGTGTGTTTGGATGGTGAAAAGAAACTTGGAACTTTGACAGATTTAGAATGTCTAGAATGCCATATACTAATTTCCTTATCGGGATTCATAAAGCAAGAAATTCATAATTGTACCTGGAAAAGAGCTTGGAATTTAGGGGTCATGCACCTATAGATTGATACCTGAACATAAAGATAAACTTCAAACTCCGTATGTAATTCCATTATTCTTAATAGGTTTGCAAAACAAAAAATTTCAAAAATTCTAGAACATACCATCATTTTTAAATTTCATAGTACTCTTATACTCCTTCATCCAAACACATTCCTAGGCTCCAAGTGTCTTTTGGCTGCATAGTCAAACATTTAGCTCCTGGGTCCAACTCTTATTCGAAAGTTAATTTTCCTGTTTCTAGAACCCACCGTGGCTGGTGCTGGCCTTCAGTAACTGTATGGGGATCGGAATTCCATGTTTGGCCTCCAAAACCTGCTCATAGCCTCAAATGCTTAAGATAACCCGCTACTAGAAGCTATTGCTCAAAAGCTCTACGTCTGATTGGAGGCAATCTATATGATTAGCTTCCTACATTTCCCATGCTGATGCGGGGACAAACCTGGCTGAGGCAAATGCTGCTTAAGCAACTTTTGAAGAAAATGACTTCCTCTTCTTCAATCGCTGAACCAATTTAATGTCTGCATCTTTGGTTTCTTTGGTTTCTTGGACTTTCAAATCATATACATTATTCATTTTCTCCCCTCATTGTCTTATTTGCTTTTGTCTACTCTATTTGGCAGCTAAGTCAGGAAATATCATCAATTTGCTCCAAACTGATAGAGACTGGGAAGTCATGTTTGAGCACAAACAATCGATATCTGCAATCGACAATTCAATTTATTGATCACTTGCCACATTCATCTGTTGCTGTCTGATTTTATGCGAATGTCTTCAGTTTGCTGTATCATCACTTGGCTTGGCGAATATTTACCATAATTCGTTGACAGTGGCATTGTAGAGTAGCGGTTAGAAACTACACAAATATCTGTTTATACTCAACCTGTACATGTGAGTTATACAAACACAACGAAAAGCTTGTAAAATTGTAACATGCCAACAGAACATACACAAGCCAAAGCATTTTTCCATGAGTACGAATTTGGTTGCTCTTGTTCTACTTCTGAATAATGAGTTACAGTTTCGTTTCGAAATTTGCTGATTATGGAAGAAATATTGGTTGGAATGTCTTCAAATGAAACCTAAGTTCATCAAATTTATTCAGGCCCCTGTGTCTGAGTTCGAGGATCAGACCCCAAGAGTGCTTCGAAAGGGTAGTTGAGCCTTAGTAAGCACCTTGGTCTTCTTCACCAATGAAACCAACAGTTACTTACAGATAAATATTATGGCTTGGCATGAGAAGCTTGTGGCATGAGAGTTGAGCATTCGTGAGTTTAGCATGAGAGAGAGAGAGAAAGCTTGGGTTTTCTATGAGAAACAGAGTCTTGGAGTAAGGAGGAGATAGAATTTTGAGAGGATTTGTTGATGGGAGATAGGACGAGATTAGGAAGAGGAATGGGGTGGCTTGAGCAAGTTTTCAGTAGCTTGATGAAAGCTTCGTTAGGCTCTGTAATGGCTTGACGAAAGAGAAAAAGAGAAGTAATGGAATATCATGGCTTGAAATCGAAGAGTTCCAAGGATGAGAGGTGAAACTTGCTATCTCTGGATGTGTTTATCGGAAGGAGAGGAAGAAAATAGAAGCATGGATGGCTTTAGCAGATTTCCAGCAGCTTGACGAAAGTTTCGTTAGACTTCTGGGTGGCTTGACAGAGGAGAAAAAGGGAAGCAATAGAGCAATAGGGCTCAAAATTAAGGTGTTTCAGGGATGAAAGGTGATGTTTGCTCTCTCTGGATGTGGGTTTTGAGAGAGAGAGAGAGAGGAAGAAGATAGGAGAACAAAACATGAAATTGAAGGGTTCCAGAGGGGATGCTTGCCTTCGATCCCTTCTCATGGTTGCTGGGAGACTTGTAGCAACCAAGGTGAGTTCCTTTGCTGGGTAGGAAGTGGCTCCTTTTATAGGCGCTGGAAACCTTAATTTTGTTAAGCCTCCCTCCCCCTTTTCTTCACTTTCTTCCATTTAATCTTGTTTGGTGAAATTTCCCTAGCATGAACCCATAGGCACGTAGCTTTTTGGGGTTCCAAGGTCCTTAGGCAGCTGGACTCCTCCATGTGGGTGAGGCGTCACTCACTTTTGCTTCTTGTTTTCTCACCAAAGCTTGAAAAGGAAATAACGAGTAAGGGTGCTAGTAAAAAAGGTTACCAGCACATGGGTTTACTTGGTTTTGATGGTTTGGCTTCAATCTGGTTTTAACAGAGATTTTGGATATTTTCCACGATGCTGGGCTGGGCAATTGGTATTATGTTTCCAGCGGCCTGTGAGTTTGCTCAAGCTGCTGGAAACAGCCTATTTGATCAAGATGCTGGATATTTTGGCTGATGTGAGATTTCTCCAAATGTTTTCTAGCCATTGGATATTTTCCTAAGCTATTGGGCCACTCTTTCTCTCTTATGTTTATCCATATGTTTGGGCTCAAGAAATGGGCTCGAGTTTTGGTGCTCCCAAGCACCCCAAAAGTTCCACTTCTTGGCCCATCAATGGGCCTCGTGAATGCTCGTAATCATCCATACCACAACCTGTTCAGTAAGCCCCGGGCATTCGCGTGGCTTGGGCCCACTTAAGCTTGTAGCGTGGCGTGTTGCTTATTTGCTTGACGTGACACGTGTGCAAGCGTATATGACGAACTCTTACATACCCAAGTTAGGTTTCTTCCCAAGTTAGGTTTCGTACTTAGCTAGAAATATATTTGGGCCCATCCTTAGTTTTTTTCGGGCCTCAACAACATGCAACACTCGCACAGTTATAAGATGTGACATTGGCACCCAATAAAGCAAACCTTGAGAGATACACCAATCCAAGGTTAATATCATCAATGCCTTCAATGCCACAAAATGTTTGTAGACGTTTTGATAAAACGATATTCTAAGTTACTCTAATATACAAGGAGGGAGATCCAACTCGAGTGAAAGAAGTTAACGCATTATCTTGATTAACTAGTCTATCTCACGTGTCCGACGTTTTCGCTTTATTGTTGAAATTTATCAAATGAAATTTGGTATTTGATTTATCATTATTTTTTTTTTGTTAAAGCTTGAAATTAAAAATAAATAAATGTCATGAGTTTGATCAATGGTATAAACTAGGGGTGGGCTTGGTCTGGGTTGGTTCATTTTGGGCTCAAGCCGAACACTGAATTGTAGGCCTCGGTTGGGCTATTTTGGAAATCGAAACCAAATCATAATTGATGAAAGCCAACCACTTCGGCTAACTGGACTTGATGGGTTGGTTTGGTTCGGTTTGGGTTTTTTGGCTTTCAGAGAGAGAGAGAGAGAGAGAGAGAGAGAGAGAGAGAAGAAAAAAGAGAGGGAGAGATGGAGAAGAAGAAGAGAGAGAGAAGAAGAAGGGAAAAAAAGAGGGAGTGAAGACAGAAGTAAGAAGGAGAAAAAAAATAGAGAGAGAGGTACTAATGGAGACAAGACAAACGTAGTAGAGATTGAGAGAGAAGAAAAAGAAAATATTGAAACTATGTATTATATATATATATATATTTCTTATAATAATATTTTTTTAATACTATCGGTTTGATTTGGTTAAACTGTGATTTTGAATATTGCAAACCGTATACTGAATCATATATTTTGGTTTGGTTTGGGTTCAAACTGATGACCAAAAAAATATTGAAAAAAAACCAAACCAACCCAAATCATCGATTTAGTTTGGGCAGTTTGGCCGAGTTACCCAACCCTAATATAAACCTTTAGGCCCCGTTTGGTGAGAGGTATTGGATTGGATATTTTCAATTAAAATGGACATGTATCCTCGCCATTGTTTGGTGAGCTTAAATTAATCTTGAATTGGATATAGGCATGGGATCCATATCCCAAATAACTATGGCTCCAGAACCCAAGCCCATATGTGGGTTTAGAATTCGAGTCTCTTCCATAGACACGGCGGGGCGGGGGGGGGGGGGGGGGGGGGGGGGGGGGGGGGGGGGGCGCCAAAGCCCAAGTTCCAGCAACAAAGGCTGGCCTGGGCAGAGTGGGGTCCACGAGCCTGGGTTGGCCCGAAGGCAGGGGGAGCCCGAGCTCTAGCCCAAAGGCAGGCTGACGTCAGCAGGCGTAATTAATTTTTTTTTTCTTTCCGCTGCCACGTGGCGCAACCTGGTCCTTCCGATTTCCGATTTTTCATCCAATCCAACGGCTTGGAATTTTTCAAGGCAAAAAATTATGAAAAAAAATCTTAAAATTTTTTAAAAAAACCCCAAAAATACTGAAATTTTTTTTTTTCTATAAATACCAATCTATACTCTTCACTTTTAACAACAAATTCACTTTCTACTCAATAATTTTT